TGAGTTTTGGAGCAATGTCTTCTCTTGATTTTCCTCCTAAAGATCTAAACATTTCTTTCTGGTATCCTTTGAGTTTTCATAATCTACGTCATACCCACAAACCAGTCTTGGCTTCTCTGTTTTCTCTTTTATCTCTATGCTCTTTCACTGGGTGTCCTCATCAGCTCCCATGGGCTTAATTATTATCTCTATGTCAATGACTCTCAGATCTGTTTATTCATAGTTGCTCTCCTGGGCTGTAGTATTTCTTCAAGAACTGCCTAGTTGACTGCTCCTCAGTTCTGGTATTCCTTCAAGAACATTAGAAGATGATGTTCCATAGAGATTTCAAACTCATCATGTCGAAAACAGAACTCATTGTGTTTTACCTCAAATTCAGCTTCTCTTCTAAGTTTTCCCAACACTACTGAGGGTACCACCAATCCTTCTAGTCACTCATGTTTATGACCTCAGTGTCAAGCATTCATCACTCTTATACACCCTATACATACAATCAATTAAAAAATATTGTGATTTCTATCTCTACTTCTCTTGAATACTTCATCTTTTTCCTCTAATCACATATCTACCATTCTAGTTTAATCCTCCATTACCTCTTACCTGGATACCTGGATTATTATAACAGCCACCTATGTGGTCTCACTGTCTTAAGCCTGACTGATTAAGCACTGTCAGCAAGATTTAAAAAATCATGAATAAAGAGAGAAAAAATACAGAGAGAGAGAGAGAGACAGAGAGAGAGAGAGAGAAAGACAGAGAGACAGAGAGACAGATAGAGAGAGAACAAAGGATTGTAAAAGAGTTCACGTTCTGATTTTTTTAGGTGGCTGAAGTCTTCAACTATAAATCACTAGGTATGACTGAACAATGGCAAAATTCTAGAGTACATTATTTAAAGGATGGTTTTGAATGCAGAGAAAATAAATTAGTAATCATTAAGAACCACCATCAACAGTAGGTCATAACATATGCACACTATTCCAATTTTGAAGGGGTTATTAACAGATTAGGAGAATTTCATAAGCATATCCAGATTTCAGCAATGGTCTTTAAATCTCTCATCTTATGATTGTAGATAAAAAAGGAGAGTGGTGGGTGAATTTGTCTAGTAAAGGATAATTATTTATAAGACAATGACAATTTGGACAGATACGGTTAATGGAGTGAACCAGTGTTATTCAACAATATTTTTATCAATAATTTGGATGAAAATGAAGATAAGATCCCTATTAAATCTGTAAACTAAGATTTCAATATGTTGAAGTATTAGGATAAAACTGGAAGGAATAGCTAACACAATGAATGACTGAATCAGGTTTCAAAGATCTTGACATGCTAAAATTATGGGAATCTAATGAGATGAAAATTATTAGGGGTAAATATAAAATACTACTCAAAAACCCAAATGCATGAAGAAGTCATAACTAGACAATTTATCTTTAAAAAAAGGTGTAAAGGTTTGAGTAGACAGAAAGATATCTATGAGGTAAGTAACATGGCACCTAATATGATCTTAGGTAACAACAGAGGCATAATTTTTAAAAGGAGGGAAGTTGTTAGTTATTGTTGTTCATCTTTCATTTTCAAAGAGAACCAGGAAAATCATAGGGTGATGACTTGTGTGTGAACTTGGATTTAAGGGAGGCAGAATTGTACAAAATCGTCAGCCTCACTCTCTCTTCCACAATCATTGAAGTCAAGTGGCAAGATGAAAGTCAGGATGACTAGCGATGATCTGGGATACAGTGGATGACCTTGGCATTTTTGATGTCTGACTAAGCTCTAAGGGCTCCACAGCATGGCTTTAGCCATCTTCATGGTTGTTGGAACAAATTGTTCCCATCTGTCCATTCCACTTGGGGATGTCTTCACATACTTGGGGTAAACATTCCCCTAATCCACCAATGAGTTTGAGGCTTGTCAGTTACCCTCAACCTGCTTCAGCCTGTCTGTGAAGACAGTTTACCAGGCTGTGACTGCTGGACATGCTACAGCTTCTTGGAGCCACAGGTGGGAGTTGGGTGACAGGTGGCTAGACGGATGAGCAGCCCTGAAAAGGGCTCAGCAAGGCCAGAGCAGTACGTCCTCCCTGAACACCCCATACAACCTTTCAGTACTCTATCCCAGTCAGACTATATCTAGAGTATTGTGTAGAATATTTTAGAAAGGCCCACTAAAAAAAAAACCTACAGGAAATCCAAAGCAGAATAATTAAAGTGTTGAGGAAATTGGAGACCACTCCATATGAGTTAGTTGAAGGAAATGAGCATGTTTTCCCCATACAAGGGAAGACTTGGGGAGAACATGATAACACTCAACTATGTAAAGGGCTATATCATGTGAAACAAGAATAAGACTTGATCTTCTTGGCATGAGAAGGGAAAACTCAAAGCAATATTTTAAAGTTGCTGAAAGGCAAATATAGGTAAAATATAAAGAAAAACTCTAAAAATGAGATTTTCACAACACCTTTTGCAGTAGCAGAGAACTAGAAACAAAGTGGACAGATGCCCACTGACTGACAAATAGCTAAACACATTGTGATACATTGATGTAATAGAATATTACTGAATCTTAAGAAATGATAAATATGAAGAATACAGAAAGGCACAGGAAGCTTTATGTGCACTGTTGCAAAGTGATGCAAGCAGAACTAGGAAAGCAACATATAAAACGTGAAAACAGCAAGGCAAACAGAAAGGTCATTAAACAAAAAAAAAAATGAAACAATGATCCTTGTTGCCCCTAGAGAGGATAAAATGCCCCTCCCTCACTTCTTTGCAGGGGTAGGAGAGAACAGCTACAAAACACTGAATATCAGCTGTGTGTTAGACCCAAATGATATTGGCTAGGTTTGCTAAACTGCTTTTCTTCCCTCTCTGCATTTCTTTATTTTTTAAAAAAAAAATTATTGTTACAAAGGATGGCTCTCTTGAGAAGAGTGGAAGATAAATGTTTGGAAATGAAGATGATATAAAAAGAAAATATAGTAACAACTTTAAAAACATAGGATGCGATGGCTTAAGGGATAATGACCACTCCCTCCATTGATTGGAGAACTTCAAAGTAGAGACTAGAGTCACTTATTAGTGATGTTATAGATGTGTTCCCCCTTAAATTAAATGACCTCTGAATTCCTTCACAAATGTGATACCTTCTTAACTATGATAAAAAAATTTTGGACATCTTTTTCCATTTATAAAACAAATTTTGGCCCAAAACCAAATACAATACAATTTCCAAGATCGCTATGGTTCATGAACTGTTCTACTCTCAAAAAAATAATCAAATTGAATACTGGCAGAAATTTCTCAGTGTGTTTTTAAATAGTCCCATTAATATATTCTTTGCTGTTTTCTTATTTACTTATTTCAGTTGATAGGCCAGCTTGCCAAATTTCATTGCAACAAAGAAGTAAACTGCTCGGAAAGAGAAGGAAAAAAGAGGGAGAGAGATGAAAACAGAAGACTTTGGTAAGCCAATATGTTGTACTACATACTGCCAGCATGTCCTGTAAAATATATGCTTCTCAGTATGCAGATAGTGTAATCCCTTTAAGTAACAATTACTAAGTTAAACAATGCAATCTGTCCCACTGGCATGAAGAAATGTGTTGTGTTGTGGATTAGGAGATTCCATTAGGATATGAACTCAGATTCCAGCCCTAAGGCCAATAAAGGCTGAACCTATTCCAGGAAGGATACAACCAGACAGACAGTCTCAGGTGTGGTGATGCAGGAGCAGCTGCTCCATTCAAGATGAGACCTTGCAAACCAATCCAAGAAAATTGCCTAGCATCATTTGCAATGATAACAAGTGCATCTTGAACATGAGGGGAAAATCTTTGGGAAGGTTGTGGCCAAAAATTAATGAATAACTAAAAAGGAAAAATGTTGATACCCACACAAAATCTGTGCCAGAATTTATATACATCTACAAACACACACACCTACACACACATACCCACCAAAGATAATATCAGTTAGCTATTTTTTCTATCTTCATAATATTTTAAAGGCCTACTTTCTTGATATTTTAATAGCATAGTTGGAGGCTTTTATTTCACATAACATTATCAGATTTAGTTTAGAAGGGCCAACCACAGAGTTTAATAAGCCAGTTCCTTCATTTTATATAATAAGATGAGGAACAGGCAGGTCAAATGATGTGCCCGGAGTCTTAAATGTTACTGCAGGACTAGGGCCCAAACTTCATTCCTTCGGCTTGAAATCTAGTATTTTTACCATTATTTTACTACCTTCCATAGTGTGTAGTTTTCAATTCAATTCAAGAAATGACTGCTGAATTGAATCAAAATCAAAAGTACTTCAAACTAAAAGCATGGAACAGAAGAGAAAAAGACTCAGGGTGTAGAATGCCATCTGCCTACACAGGGCCAATTAGGTAAATAAGTTCTTTGTTCTTGCTCTCCATCACCTTGCCTACAGATTCAAAATAACTTCATTTTTGAAACTCACTGTAGCTTAAAGGTAAAATGACTATAACCATAATTTTCCCTGAAAACTATTGTTGTTGATTATGTGTCATACCACACAGAATATGGCACACTATGCAAATATAGAAATACAAGAAATCTATTTATTACTTGTTAAGAAATCAATTTTACAGCCATTTATTTGTGAAATGAGTATTTCATTATTTCTTCAGAAATATGGAAACGCAATTGGAATTTTTCAAATTGTCTTCAAATAGTTTATCCTTCTGGGTTGTGAAAAAAAAATCATAGCTTTGAACCCTTGTGTGCCTGTCACACTGTCTCACAGATATTAGATATAAACAGTGTGTTACTGATCTGAGAGGTATCCAATCAACGCTCCCTAATGAAATTGTGCTTTAATCTGATAATGAAGCCATGAGCAGATGGAACTGCAAAAACAGAAAGCCTCTATATTGAATTCAGCAGCCAGACATAACCACTGACCTTCAGATAATTATAATAACAGTTTCCCCCATCGATAAAATTACATTTTTTTTTTTACCTTAGGAGGAGATGATGGAATAGGGAGGCTATAGTTCAGGCCACTGCTGCAGGCACCGCCATGGAGAGCTAACATTGAGGCTTGGAAGGCGTCCTCATCCTCAGGAGAGTACTGAGATTCGAAGGTGGATTCATCTGCTAAGTCTGCCTCATTTGCGTCCACCTAGCAATAAATATAATTGCATCAGTCTGAATATCTGTCTTACCACATATGTTCTCAACATTTGCCAGCTCAAGGCTAAAATGCATCCTGTTACTATTCTCATTTTGAATCTTTGTTATGCACAATCTTTGATACACTGGCTAATGCAACAGAACAAGGAAAAGCTGGCAACCAGGAGCAGAGGGTGCTGACATTAGGTGTCACAACTATATGACTTCATTCCATTAATAACAGAGCCAATGTATTCTTTTTTTCCACTAACAACAATTAGCAAAAGGCTTGGATGGCACTTCTAAGTTTAAAGAAGTTGTATAAATTAAGCATAATTTGTTTTCTAACTCATATTTTTAAAAGCACCATCTCTTCCTGAGATTATAATGAAACACAAATTAAATATCTTTTTTAAACCTACAGTCTTAATAATTTGCAGAGTTGAACTGAAGCAATGATTTTCAGAGACGTTAAAAAACACATTTTAAAATGTACTCTAAGTCCAGAAACCATTAGATTTTCAATGATACAATAATCAAATTTGGTGTTTGTAAGAACCCACAGAGGAGATTAATGCTAACATCACAATAGTAAGCCTTGAATACAGTTCCTAATCCAGGCACAGTGAAGTAAGAATATGGAGGAAGGAAGTGGAATAGAAAGGGTAGGAACACACTACAAGGAAGAAGAACTGTCCACTTTCCATCTACAGTTCTGCTTGGTTTGAACTCCAAGGAACAAGATGTCCTCACATTGGGTACCTCCTGTTATCTTCCCCATCCCAGCTTCCGTTTCTAATTCCTCTTCCCCCATTAGATTGGGAGCTCTTTGAGAGCAGAGACTTATCTGTATTCCTGGTGCTTAGCATAGTGCCTGGCACATAGTAACTGTTTAATAAATTTTTATTCAATTGAATTGAATTGAATGAGACAATGATGAATGAGAAAATAGACTATGATGAATGAGTTAACATTTTTGCAGTTAGGGGGAAAGAAAAGAGTTAGTTGGTGATGATGCTGAGAAGCAATGAGGAATAAAAGAAGGGAGATTATAGGTTCATAAGAATTTAGAGTGGGAAGGGACCTTAGTCCAACCCCTTCATTTTTACAAGTGAGGAAATTACATTGAGGGAGTTCATAGTAGTTATTATAAAAGATCTTAGAAGAAAAGGAAACTAGGTAATTTGCTGTTAGTGAAGAGGTCAAGGATATGGTTGGAATGCAGCTGGTAACAACCTTCCCCCTCACACCTTACAAAGTATTTCATAAGATCCTAATCCACTTAATGTTGCATATTATTGTTCACTGTAAGTGGTATCTTATATCCCTGTTAGTCTGAGCTTCTTGAAGTTCAGACCTATGTCTTCTATATAATCTACCCCCATTTCCTATCATGATGCTCTTCACACAGTAGGCCTGTAATAAATTATGCTGGTACCATAGGTTACAAATTGCTACTAATCACATTTCACATGCTTAGAATGACGTAGGGATTATTTACCAAAAAAAAAAAAAAACCCAACCCAAACACAACTATTGCTGTTCCTAGGAAACAAAGAGCTTGAAGTCCCTAGAAATAATCTTTCAGGATGTTTTTTGGCATTTCCTTCACAGATATGTCATAGGATTTCAGAAGAAGCAGAGTGCATTTTTAAAAAAGTAAATTTGGTGGTAGTGTAATGGCTGTTATCTCTTTCAAACTCTGCTTATATTTCACATTTGCATTGGTGGTACTGATAGGGTAGGTAGCACTTTTTCCTCTGCTAAGGAAATCTAGAATTTTTTGCATACAAACAGGCCCGGCTTGATTTCATGTAATTGGTTTCAAGAAAAACATTAGGTGAAGCAACATTACAGAGAATTATTTTGTTATTTAGTTAAATTAGTTCCATAGATAAGAACAGAGGCATCAGTTTTTTTGTTTTTTCTTTTCTTTTGTTTTGTTTTTGGTTTGATTTGTTTTCTGAGCACGGAATGGCTTCATTCTAAGTGGACAATAAGCTAGGAGCATCCTTGGAGGATGAAACTAAGGATATTACGGACAGGAGATGTGACATTACAATAGGATTTATTTATGTAGGGATAAGGGTCAGGAAGTGGACCTGCAATTTCACCGGAATAGGGAACTCCAGAAACAGAAAACTCCCTTTATCGAGGCTGGTCAGCCATCTCCTCTACAACTTCTAGTCTCAAAGAAATTCCTACAGCATTGAAAAATTAAGTAATTTGTGCAAGGTCACACTGTCAGTATCTTTCACAGGCGAGAACTGAACTCAGATCTTTCTAGATTCAAGGGCAACTCTCTATCTCCTATGCCACACTGCCTCTCTTATCTTTAATGGTGTTACTGGAGAATAACAGTGGCAGAAGGAAGATGATTTACTGTATGCCTGTCATTTCTTCCTGAAAATCTGTTGCTTTAGATATGATACGATTTAATTCAATTCCACAAATATTGATTAAGTACCTCTCTGGGTAAGGCGCTATGTTGGCTGCCTAAGATGTGAGACACAAAGGAAGCGGTCTTTGGTGCTTAGTCTACTGAGGCGACATGGCACATACACAGATAATGCAAGTATGTGCTTAGTAACAAAAACAATAAGGGAAAGAAAAATATTTTAGGAAAATTTCAGGAGGTCAACAACATCAAAAATTATGAGGTGTGAGCATGTCTTCAACCACTACGACCATTTGTCATGTGAAATATAACAAAGAATTTGAGAAGTAACTTGTAATCTAGCTTGGGTGGAATGCACAGCACAGGAAAGAATGGTATGAAATCAGGCAGGAAGAGCATATGGGGATTCTCTTTAAATGGCAGGAGAAGTGTATATTTTATCACAAAAACAGTAAAGAACCATTTAAGATAGGTTAAGGGACAAGGCATTCCAGAGTAGAATGGAGTGAGTGTATTGTTATCCTTGGGGAAAAATGCTTGAAAAATAAAGTTGCTTTCAGTTGAAGTCAACTAAGCTTTGGAGTTTGCAAAAGGTCAATAAATTTATAAATGGATTTATTGAAGTGAGAAAACATGTACAAGTGCCTAGCACATGGTAGGTTGTACCATGAATTGATTTGAACTGAACCTACAACACAAGATTGGTTATGAAAAATGATTTTTAAAGCTTACTTAAACGTTACTATGGTATAATTTATTCTTGAGGAATTCCCATGGTCCATAGTAATTTCTATACTTACAACATTTTCCTTCTTATTTCCTTTTAACTTTCTTAGGGATGCGGAACCTGAAACAAAGAATGTAGAAGCTTCCATTTCCCACACCTTGTCTATCCTCCAAGGTCCAGTCCTGGGCTCTCTTCTTTGTCCCCTCTATTTTTCTCTTCTTTAGTGAGTTCATCAGCTCCTGATGAGTTAATGGCTCTCAAATTTCTTTATCTTTCTACCTACCATCTATCAATCAATCAATCTGTCATCAAACCATGCTCTAATACTTCTTCTGAACTTGTAGAGTATCACCAACTGCCTGCTGGACATCTCCTCCTGTATTTCCCAATATCATCTCAAGTTCCACATGTTCACATCAGAACTCATTATCTTTTCCCCTAAACCTTCACCTATTCCAAACTTCCTCTCTTCTATTATAGGCACTAGCATACTGCCAATCACCCAGGTTTAATCAATCCTTGACTGTTTCTTTTCCTTTAATCTCCCTTACCATAGCCAATCAATTGCCAAGTCTTTCTGATGTGACCTCCATGATACTGATCTCATCTATCCCCTTGTCTCTGCCACTCCTCCAGGCAGAACTTCATCATCTCTTGCCTATACTACTTTAATAGCCTTCTACTTGGCTTCCCTGTTTTCTCTCTTCTCTAATACATCTTTATCAAAATCATCATCCTAAGGCAGAGATCTATATTACTCATCCACTCAAAAATATTTAGAGCAAAAACAATCTTTTTTCTTTGCATCATGGACTCTGTTAGCACTCTGGTGAAGCCTACAGACCCATTCTAAAAACAACTTAAATGAATAAAATAAAATATAGAGGATCAAAAAAGAAGCCAATTATATTGAAACACAGTTGTTAAATTATTTTTTAAACAAGTTCATGGACCTCGGATTAAAAATTTCTGACTCAGAGACTTCCCAAGGTCTCTGTAATTAAATACAAACTCCTCAGTCTCAGCATTACATATAATGTCATCCACAGTCTGGCTACAAACAACCTTTCAAAAATGATTCTGAATTCCTCCTCTTTAAGCGCTCTATATTCTAGCCAAGCTGGACTATTCCAGGGATAAAATATTCTACTTCCCATCTCTCAGATAGTCATTTTCTCTTAAAATGAGCATCAGCATAGATACATGTAACTGAAGAATATAGAACTATAATAAGTTATGCTCTTATTTAAAGCAAGAAATTCAGATGACCAACAGTATGCTAAAAACTTATGATGAAGTATTTAATGTATTCTAAAGCTGACACCAAAAATGTGTTTACTAAATGTGAATGGTTTAAAGAAGACATCCAAATGCAATACAGTACAACACATTAGACCAAGTAAGTTTACAAAAATGTATGCCAAAAAGGTTAGGTAGGAAGACAACCTGGCCCTTAGCGCTAAATGTACTGCTAAATTTTCTATTTATTACATTTATACATTTCCTTTCTCCAAGGACAGAGTGCACAGAAAGTCTTTACCTTAATTTTTACACTAAAGCATCAAAATTTACTTTGGTGATTACATAAAGCATGAGATTTCTCTCTGCCCCACCCACTCACTTTTTTTTTTGACAGCTTCCTTATCCATAATCAAAAATAGAGCCAAATGTATATGATTTGGGCATGTCACATTGCATAATAAGTGACTGGCTCTTCTCTTATAATAGAATTTTGCTGATTAATCTATACTAAACTGCAAACATCATGACAGCAACAAGAAAATATAGCTAGTGGCATATTAAAGAGACTGACAGTGGTACATAATGAAAGAACAGAAAAGAAGGTTTAAAATAATCAATTTTAGAAAACGAGTTTAAAGTGAATTATATTATACCTTAATATGCTATTAATTACATTTCTCCCTCAAATATCAGCAAACTAATTTCCCACATAGTACACACATACACACACACACACACACACACATATATATATATATACATACATACATATGTATACACATATATATGATAATTATATATATCATATATGTGTGTGGTTTTTTTCTTACTTCACCTTATAGCAGGGGTAGGATGAATTGGCCAGGCTTAAAATTTTTAAAAATCAAATAAGTGAAGAACTAGCACAAGCCTATTACATTAGTCTATCACAGTGCTCAGCAAAGCAATCATTTAAGCCAAGAAAGGACTCTGAAAGAAGGCTTGGTAAATTTGGGCACTGACCAGAGCTACCTCAGCATGGAAGAGAGCCACATCAGTCGGCCCTTCCTCCTCAAATGAGTATGCTGTGTAGAAAAAGGGATCTTCCTTAGCAGAAACATAACCTTCTTCTGGTGAAAGCTGCAGAAAGAATGAAGCTCAGAGTTGGATGAATAGCCATTGAAAAGGATATGCAAAGAAATTCATGTTGGGGAAGTTTTTCCATTTAAAATTTTTTTCTTTTTTTTGATTATTCTTTTGACAAACATAAACAAATATAAACATTTCCATATACACAGAACATAAAAAGATGATTACATATGAAAAAACTATGTTACTTCTTAAATTTCTGAGTGTATGTTAAATTTAATGTAGTAGTTTCAACACTGCATTGCTTGTCCACGTCCCCTTCTAAACTTCGTTCTGCTCTCTTCTGTGTCTTTGAGAGACTTTTTTTTCTTTTTTTAAAAGTCACTATAAGTACTGCCCTTTGTCCTCAGAATTCTCCCTTCTCAAAAAAATATCCACCCCATCTCAATTTGTAACAAAGAAGAACAGTCACAAAAAACAAATCAACACCTGGCCATTTCTGAAAACCTCTCATTCTGTACATCTAGCATTTACAGAAATTTTCAATAACAAAAGAAAAAAACACAAATCTGAATTTAGAGAGAAAACACTCAATAAATAATTTGAAGTACTGAATTTTTATAACTATCATCTCCTTCACTTGTTATTTAATGAACTTATGATCATAGATCATTTACTTCTAATATAATATAACATTCTTATTTTATCAGTTTTTAAATTTAAATTTCATCAGTTTTTTTTAAGTCTTTCAGCTTTTAAATTTAAATTCCCCCATAAATGATTATCTTTTAAAAATTGTATGAAACAAATTTCAGCCCCAACTTCATCTATTATCCCTTCTGAGTAAAGAAACAATAACTATTAAAATGGAAACTAAACAATTTTTATGAAATGAGATGCTTTAGCACAGTGCAGAAGTACTTAAGAAATCATGAAATAACAGCTCCTTAAGCACAGTGCTTTGCACATAGTAGGTTTACAAGAAATGTTCGTTGAACTGACAGTGTTATTTTTCCTTTTCATTATTCAAGAAGGATATGAGTCAACAAAATATCATTTATTTGACTTTACTATGTGCCGTAACAGACAGTTTAGCCCAACCTGGGAAATATAATTTAACTTCTCATAAAAATAATAATGGCTTGCATTTACATGGCTTGCACTTTAAGATTTGCAAAGTGTTTTTCCATATGTTATTTTATTTGAGCCTCATGACCACCCTGTGAGGCAGGTGCTATTATTATCCTCATTTTAGAAATCAGAAAACTGAGGTACAGAGAGGTTTAATGACTTTCTCAAAGTTAATTGCTAGTAAGTGTCTGAGTGGGATCTGAAGCAGCCTCTGAGACCAGCCAGCTATCCATTACAACAATGCTTGCCTCTGTCTACCCCCTAGCCAACTCTTTAACACTGTAAGTTACAGAGGAGTTGTTTGGGTGCATATCTGGGATTTCTTACTACAATAAAATCATAGGTCCACAATACACACACACACACACACACACACACACACACACACACACACACACACAGGGACACAGATGACACACACACCTTTGTGCTCTATTAAATTCTTTTTAATTAAAAAAAATCTTCTACTATGTGTATATGCCAGTATGACTAGAATGAAAAGCTTAATGATTCAATCGTACCTTGGTTATTGTTGGTGACAACCTGACAAAATGAATTTTTTTCAGTCACTGGTACATTGGAATCAATTTTCTAAATAAGTGCCTCAATGATTTCTTTTGTAATATTATTTGCTGTACCACAATTAATTGATGATGTGTTCGCAAGCAACCTGTGGATAATATGAATTATTTGCCACAGAATGGGCAGTCTGAGAAGCATCTCTTTATCAATGCAGAAGCATCTCTACCTGCAGATAGTTATTTATCCTTTATGCTATATAATTGTAATATGTTTTGTTAATCATTCTATTTAAATGATACAGCAGCATTATGAAATAATGGGTAGAAAGCTGGCCTCAGAGCTATGAATACCTAAGTTCAAGTTTTATCTCTGATAAACACTTACTGCTTGTCCCTCAATAAGCCACACTGCCCCTCAGAGCACTAGGCAATTCTCCAAGACTCTATGTAGATTGCAAAGAAGTTGCCAACATGCATTAGAAGAAGGAATCTCCTCTTCTGGGATTTCCTTGTATCTATGAAATTATCACAGGTCTAGTCTCTATCTCCTAATAAATACTTTTATTTATAAACTCTCTCTATATGAGTACTGTCTTTCCTCTTACATATAGAATGCATTGTAGGTATACCTCACTCTATGCAAATGTAACATTTGAATATTGCTTATTTTTCAAAACAGTAAAATTTGAGGATTCAAATTCATCTTGCTAGACAATTTTATACTTCATAAAATTCTTTAAACTAGCAAGCTCTCTTTCTTTTACTACTTTAAGATTCATTATTTCATTGGCCCCTACATACATGTGTGTAAACACACACACACACACACACACACATATCAACCCTCCCCCATCATCATGATGTAAACTGCAAACTTTCCCTGTGGCCAGCTTTCTCATGGTGAGCCTCGCTGACTTTAGCTTACCTAAGATATTTTAAATATGGTTCAGCTTTCAAAACTAAAATGAATTCATAACTTTACAGGATGATATCTATTGCAAAAAGTATGGCATATTCACTTTTCCAGCATAGTAGCAACCACACAGTTTAACCAAATCAAGGTCATAGAACCACTAGGTGAAAGGAATTTCTGTCACTGGGAATGAAGCAGATCCCAAGACCTCTGGGGAGATTATTAATACTTTTCTAGCATTCACTCTAGTGTTCCCCAACATTCATTTGTATTAATTAGTACACACTAATCATTAGTCAAAATGTTTATGTGATTCTATTAGTATCTATCATTAGCAAATACACACATAAATAAAATACTCACGAGTGGTTGGGATTTTTTGTCTGTTACTGATGGAAATTATTATATAAATTATAAGGACAAATTTTCATTGTTCAAGATAACACCTTAATATCAAAGTGAGTATAAAGCCCATTTCCCCTGGAAAAGAGATAACAAAATCAACATAACCAAAACTCTTACAGGGAGAGGTTTAGTAACTCCAATTCTCACGGTTCCTGATGGCGCTCCTTTCAGGGCTTGCACAGCTTCTTCGAGACTGCCATTTTCCAAGTTAACATCATTGACGAACATAAGCCGGTCCCCAGGAAGAAGTCTTCCATCCTGTTCAGCGACACCACCAGGCACTAATGAGCGAATTACAATGACTGTGCGAGCAGGGTCAACTGGATCCTGATGCACAGAGACCAGAAACAGTGAGGAAGGTGAAGAACACAGTTTATTTAGGAAAACTTCTAATTTTAAGGAATAATGGCTAGATAATTATTTTGAGTATTTCTCTTTAAACTTTTTTAAACTATTTAATAATATACTCTTTACTATCTGGAATAAATTTCCTGTAACTGTGCTGCAAATTATTCATGGTTCTTTCTGGATCCTATACGTGTTACTCAAAGGATCTGTGATTTCCTCCCAAATAGGAAACGCCCTCATAGAATCACAACTTTAGAACTGAATGGACATTGGAGGTTTTTACATCCAGTTCTGTTATTTTACAGATGAATAGACAGAGGCCTAATAAAAGTAAGTGAATTGCCTAGGGTCACAAAAATTCTAGAAGTCAGAAGCAGAATTAGAATTCAGGTCTTCCTGAATCCAAAAACCAGTGCTATAACCACTATGTTATCTAGATGCCCAATCAACAGACTGCTACTTCCTTATCTCCTCCTGGTTTCTCTGGCTTTCTTCCCAACTCTGCTCAAAATCACACCTCCTGCTAGGTCCTTTTCCAGTCTCCTCTACTATTATATATGTATTTTTTTTTGTTTATTTATTCATCTATTGAATGTGGGATTCTTGAGTGCAGGGACTGTGTTTTTACTTTTCTTTGTATCCCAGCACAGATTAGATAAGATTTAGGGAATTGCTTGTAAATTGTGGTTAGTAAAGTGACTTGACAGGGGTCAAAATACAAATAAGTGTCTGAGGCAAAACATGAACCCAGGTCTTTCAGAATTCAAGTTCAGCCCTCCATCCACTAAACTATATTGCCTTATACACAGCAGAGGATAAATAATAAGTGTCTGCAGCAAACAAGAAATAAGATCAGCAAATATTTGTGTTAAGCCATAGAAACACATACATGTTTTTTTTATATAAACAGCAGAGTAAAATCAAAATACCTAGAATACCCAAAGCCTGTACACCTTCTCTGTGCTATGCCTCACAGTTCTGCACTGTCAATTTCAGAAAAGAAACCATGTGCCACAGAACATGGAAGGCCACCAACTGGTGGAATTCAGAGCTAAGTGATCAGGGATGGATCAGCAAAGTGAGAGCAGAAAGGTCTGGTAGGTACAAGCAGGGAATAAATTAAATATGCCGAACTAGATGGAATGGGCATAGTTGGGTCAGACAAAGGTAGAGAAGCCTTAAGTTCAGTAATGAAGGCGGGAGGCACAGAGGGATCGAGTGGAAAAGCATCATGGAATGCAGGTGTATTTGGACCATAGGCAGTCTGTGAATCACAGAAGTGGCACATTGCTTTGTCCCAAAGAGGATAAATTTTGATGTTAACTTTTACAACAATTAGCAAAGCAAATGCTCTAATATGAACATTAGAACTTTTGAGTCTGGCTAAAAACGAAAGTCCTCTATCCATGGCAAATAAAGGCACAAATGATCTGTTTTCCTTCTCCCTGTCCCAGGTAAAGAGTATGAGGCCCCTTTTTGGGGACTAGCCAAAAACTTTGACCACCTTGAAAATATTTCTTGGATGCTCAAGCTGAAACACACTGCAAAACACACACACACAGTTTCAGTGATTTCTGGATCTGAGAGCTGATGAAGGCTTTCTCTCTGCTCTTAGCTTCAGGAACACTTGCCATATGTTATATCATAAAAGCTATTTTGCCTATGACAGCCCTTTAAAACCATCACTATAACTACCCAGTGAAGATAATAATCTAATTTTGTTTTAAAAAATGCTTTCATATATTAAGCTGAAAAATAAAGGTGAAAAGGAACCACAAAATAATAACTAGCAAAGCAATAATGGTGCATGGCTCTAGCTGGAGGCAGGACTTAGAAACTAGGCAGCATTGAGAGACCTTGCATCTTATATGACTTTATGGCGTCATCTAAGCTAGCTCTGTTGTTTGGCATTAATTAATGAAGAGATACAGTTGCAGTCTATCAGATAGACTTTCCTATTCAGGCAATTTAACTGCAGAATATAAGAAATGGCTCATATGATGCTTGGCCATCATAAAGTACAATCAAAGATCTATTCAAACTTATGAAACTAACAGCTTAATATACATTTATATGGATATAAATATATAGATATGTTATACCAAATGTCAAATACATCACTCATGCAAAAGACTAATTAAAAGATGAATATTTCACTTTTCAAGTATGAACATAGATTGGAGTACAGTACATACAACTCAAAATTTTGCATAAATTCACTTAAATGCAATCTACAAAATGCATATTAGTAAAATAAAATCAATTCCTAATATTCCTGTAATATAAACTATATTATTCCTTTATTTTATCAAGAGTTATACCATAAAATAAATGCTTGTTATGTCAACATTTTCTCTCTGCTAATAGAAATTCTTTTAGAAAACAACACTACTAGTTAATAATAATAATACAACTACTATTTGGAAATATTCACAGAAAGAAAACTTAAATTTGCTACTGTCTATTGTACATAAAATAATATATAGCTTTAGCTTCTCTTTGGTCTCAAAGGTATTATTTGATCATGAATATTACCTTCAAAAAAAAGCAGACTGATTCTGTTGAAATGAGTATATGTTACCTGATAGTCTAATATGCTAAAACCAAGTCCTATGCTCCGCTTTTCCAGCTCAATATGCTGAATGTTGGTTTCCCACATTGCCAATGATGATCCTTGCACCTCTTCTGTAGTCTGACCCACAACAGTCATGTCAAAAGCAGTATCCTCTGTCTCTGATGAGCCAATGAATTCACCGAGGTCTACATGAGGCTGCAGAAAAGAACAGAGAGCTCTTATTTCAGAAACACAAGATCAAGAGATATATTGTACCCACAGGAAAAGGGAAAATCCAAGGCCTCTGAGATAGAAAACAAAATAGCTAAAGGAAAAATCGCCAAAGGGTCAGCTAATATTTTGGCACTTCTAGAATCATGAAAGCAATTAATAAAAATGATCCAATTTTTTAAAGAAGGATAGAAGTCTATGCTATTAAGTATTAAAGACATAAAGAGTTTAGTGACATTTTAAAGCACAAGTAGGAAATAATTCAGGAGAAACTGGATTGGTACATAAGACATAAAGCATGTAGAAAATAATTTTTACATGCTATTTTGTATTGGGTCATTTTACAAAATACGCAGCAGTAAAATGACTGTTTTGATTTAATAATATTAGTTCAATATTTTAGCACTTCAATGGATCTATGATCCTTCTGAAGTGGGTTAATTTCTTGCTTTGCTTAAGATAGTAACATATTCAGACATAGTAATCCTATATGATTCTTGTCTATATCCCTTAAATACTCTACAAAGAATCGACCTAAAATGTAAGAAGTCTTCCTCTAGGTGGATGCCACTGCAGTTCTCATGTACAGAATCACAGTTATAAAGCTGAGTGGTACCTTTCCCCATTTTCTAGTCAAACCTCTATTTTACTGATAAGGAAACTGAGGCTTGGAGAGGCTAATTGGCTTCTCCATGCTTACACGGGTAAGTGACAGAGTCTAGGCCTCTGACCAGTAGCAAACTGTTCCTTTGACTTCCAAAATATCTAATGCAGCTTCAGTATTAGTACATAGCTCGAAGTGCTGGTCTTCTGAAGCTTTCCCTTTATGCTGAAACACTCTTCAAAATTTTCTATATAATCTCAAAGGATAAGTATCTAAAATATATTTTTTCCTGTTAGATACTACTTGAAGGAGGAGCAAATTATAACACAAATCATACAGTCTCTACCTTTCAATTTTAAAAACTGCTTCTACTGCTCTTCCAAAGAATAGATGGTCTCTGTTTTCTTACATTTTTTTCTAATGGAGTAGAATGTATATAAAGGAAAACAGTAGGATGTATAATATAGAAATTTGATAATAGTGTAATGGCTTGAGTTCAATTTTTCCATATTTTAAAGATATAAATTCTGTAGTGTAAGATATATTACTGGGATAAAGCCCACCTTCATATATTACAAACAAGTCGAAACTCAAAACACACAATCAAGAATTCAATTCAAGGAAATGCTATCCACATCCAGAAAAAGAAGTGTGGAATCTGAATGCAGATGGAAGCACACTATTTACTCTCCTTTTCTTTTGTTATTTTGTTTTATTTCTTCCTTCTCATAGCTCATCATTACTAATGTGAAAATATGCTTAACATGAATGTATAAGTGGAGCCTATCTAAAATAATTCAATTCAATAAACATTTATTAAATGTTTACTATGTGATCTGTTAGACTACGAATCATGTGAAGTAGCTATTAGTCAAATGAGAGTAAGTAAAATACCTTTCCTGTTAAATGGATATCAGAGAGATTCAACCTCTCCAACTCATCCTGGTTAACAGGTAAAGCAAGCGGACGACAGCAAACCATTGCCACTTGAATTGGAAGCTCTTTTAAAATATTCACCACATCTTTGTGATTTTCACCAAGTAAAGTTATTCCATTCACCTGTTCAAAAGGGAAAAAAAATATGTATACATATACATATATATATGTATATACATATATGTGTGTGTGTGTGTGTATATATATATATATATATATATATATATATATATATATATATATATATATAGAGAGAGAGAGAGAGAGAGAGAGAGAGAGAGAGAGAGAGAGAGAGAGAGAGGAGAGAGAGAGAGAGAGAGATGCCACAATGGCCCATGGAAAAACATGTCTTAACATCAAATAAAGTATATACTATTTCACAAATTAAGTGTTACTTTCTTGCATCTTATATGCAACCTATCCACAAATGATTTCATATTTATTGAAGATCTGTAATGATTAGAAATAGTCCATGACTGTTTACCCCTTTCAGCTGGAGCTTAGATTGCTTTGGGCAAGGTTGGTACACTGCAGTCTAATTCAAATTCATATATAAAAGAATGTCAGGAGATTCTTTGGTTGGTTTAAACTTCTGAGAGATTACCTGTCATCACAAAATAAAAAGTCAAAGGGAAAAGCTGTATTATAAAATCATCAGCTCTTACCTCCTTTTTATCCACATTTCTTCTGCCAGATTAAGAATCTCAGAGGCAAAATGAGGAATACAGATATTATCACAAGACTTCAGAGCAAAAGGAACCTTAGCTATCATTTGGTTCAGCCCCCTCATTGTACATATAAGGAAATTGAAGCTCAGAGACTGAAATGATTTACCCAAGGTCAGGTACACAATAGGCAGTAAAGAGAGTACACAGGTACTCTCTGTATTGAATTATATCTATGAAGGGAGAGGTGAAGGTTGGGAGGTAGATGAAAAGGGTACTTAGGGATGGAATGGGATAGAGGTACAAAAAGTTTATTAAATTTTCTTGAACATAAAATGTTGCGATTTAGTTCTGAAAATAAATATATACATGATATAGATTTTTTTTTCTGTGAGTTTAGAGTTTTTGTAGTTTAGTCCTTAATGTGCCTTTAAGGTAATACTCCAAGTCTTAAAGAATCACAAATTTAGAGAATTTGAGTTGGAAGGAACCCCAAAGGTCGTCCTGGAGATAATTAAATAGCACAATGGCTAGAACACTAGACTTGAGCTCAAGGAAAGCCTGAGTTCAAAAATTCTGCCTGAGACAATGACTAACTGTATACAATATTAGGCAAATCACTTAACCTCTCTCAGTATGTTCCCTAACCTATAAAATGGGTGAAAGTACCTCATGTTCCTCCCAAGGTTGCTGTAAAGATCAAATGAAATTATATTTGTATAGCATTCTGAAAATCACAACATAAATAATGATGATGATGATTGTTCTGTTCAATACATACCTGAAAAGAAATTCTCTATTGCTTTTTTCAGAAACTTATTTAAGGAAGAAAACAGAAACAATTTCTTACTTCCAGTAGTTCATCTCCACTGAAAAACTTCCCACTGTGTCCAACAGGCCCTTCGGGTAGAACAGATCTGATGAAATGATGGCCCACAGTTGCTTCCAAGCTTATTCCCAACCCACTGCTCTCACTGAACTTGTTCATGTGGGCAACCTAGAAGGACAGATATCATATATATTTTTATTTCCCCCCTATAAATAACTGTGATGTAAAGATAAAGTGTATCAACTAAAATTATTTAATATAATAACTGATTAAATGAATTAATAATAAAATTATATATAATTATATACTACATATACACATATATGCATATATGTGTATATGTTTATACATGGGGGGGAGAAAGAGAGAGAGAGAGAAAGAAATATATAGAGGGAAGGAGGGAAGGAAACAGACAGACCAACAGACAGAGATAGACAGAGTCATCAGAATGCTGCTGAAATTGTTATGTTCCCATTGGAAAGATCACTGATGTCCATAAGTTTCTGGAATTAACCTTAGCTCCAAGTCCCAGTATCAGTGGCAGTCAAGATTGGCCATAAGCTTCTGGAGTTACTTACGGAAGAGCTATCCATTCTGCATTACAGGGAGAGTTCCTTCTTGCTGGAGATATATTTTTTTTTAATTAACAAAAGCTAATGTATTTTTTTCTTCTTTTTCCCTAGTGACACATAATCAGAAATTAAAGCACTACTTATAAACCTCAAAAGCTCTAGAATATGAAGAGATCTTAGAGATCAACAAGTCCAATACCCTTATTTTACAGATGAGGAAAATGAGACTCAATAAGTCAAAGGGATTGAACAAGTTTGCACCAAGTAGGAAGTTAGGTCTAATGACTACAAATTCAATGTTCTTTCCACTGCATCTCACTACCTTAATAGGACTTATTTTTGTGTAAGTAAGCACTATGAAAGTCTCAGAGAAAGATCTTGAAAGTTTTTTGTAATTATGTGCCACATAATTAGGGTTGTGTTTGCTAAAATGATCCATTTTCTCTCTAATCCATAGGAACTTGAACCCTACCAAGAGTATCATCTAACCCAATACCTGATTGTTCCTGCCAAAGCCTGAGGATCTCACAATTATGCAAAGGCAAATAAAAAAGCTTCATGTCTCTATGGCTTCAGAAGAGTTAGAAAAAGTAATTCATGGTTCTAACCATTTATTGTTGGAACATCTCTTTTGTACTAATCAAAGTTTGCAAAGTTGATGAATTATGTGAATTTGGAAACTTCAGCTTTAGGAGGATTCACTACTTTCTCCTCCCCATTTATTTTATTTTCTTCTTTTTAATCAGCCTTTTAAAAAGAAATTGACTCCAGAGCCCAGATCAGCACTAGAAATTTTAGTCTTCCCCAAAGGCCAGACATTTACCATTGGACTAGGACCAAATTACAAAGGATAATAATGGATTATTGTTGTTAATATAAAAAAGTTCCATATTACTTGAATAATTCTTTAGTCCTTTGTATTTCCTTATGTGAAACTGGAATATTATATTACTATTAAAATAATAAGTCTACTGTCAAATTTGCCAGATTATCTATTAAAAAAATGCTAAAATCAGGACATAAAGGTTAACGTACCACTATTTCATAATTAAGGCCCATAATCCTTTGCCACTTATTCCGCAATTTTGCTTCTTCAAACTGTCCTTCATCAACTTCTACTTCTTCTGGTAGCTGATGGTCTAAAATAATTAAAACCATTATTTAATTGACTATAACATTTTTCACATCTTGAAATTTGGTACAAAGTTAACTCATTTATCAAAATATCCCCTTTTAAGTTAGTCTTATTATAACCTTTTTTATATCCCACTCATGCCTGGTTGTACCTTTTCCCATGCTGTTCCCTATAATGCTCTCTTATTTTCTTCCTAGCAACCCATGGTTATTTCATACTGAAACCCAGCTCAAGTTTCTTTGGGAATCCTTTTTTTGACTCAGCAGAATATAACCTCCTTGAAGACAAGAGTTACCTCACTTTTGTATTTGAATCCTCAATGTCTAGGACAGTGCCTGGCTGATGGTAGGTGTTTAACAGTGCCTGGTAACCGACTGATTAACAAACTTAACATATCCCTGTTGATCACTCCTCTTCCCTTGGATTCTTTCAGTAGGTATACATTCCAATACAGCCTGGATTTGGAAAGTGCTCTATTAGAAGACTACCTGCATACTGCTCCTTACTCCCACCCTTCACTGCCTCGTCTAATTTCAGAGAAACATTTAGGGCCATTTATAACCATTAAAACTAGAAGCATTGGCTGTGGCTTCAAATAAGCAATATAAATAAAACCCTGTCTATGGGGAAAACTACTTTTGTTGCCTTCCTCTGCCAGCCTGACTCATCAAAGCCAAATGCACAGAGCCTGAATGTCTCACCAGTACTTTCTAATGGATGCCATTGTTTTGGTTATTGTGTTCATTGCAGATGTAGGTAATTTCACCCTATATTACTCACATAGTCCTCTTTCAGAAAACAGTGATACATCAAAATTCAGGTGAGGACCCTCTCCCCATCCCCTCAATTTCAGCCAGTCTGATCCCTAATTACAGAGAGGTGCATCTCTCTGGACATAGGTCAGTTTCTGTGTATGTGTGTATATATTATATTACAACCAAGTGCAGACTTTATTCTGAGGCCACTCTTAAGTTTGGTAAAAGATTCTGATAATAATATAGTTCCTTGATTTACACAACAGATGGGTTTCCAATGAGTTGTGTATACAATATCTTTGTGTAAATTAAATTTTATTTTCATTTCATTAGGGAAATTGGATATTGAAAGACTATGAAGTGATAAGTCCTTTTTCATAAGGTAAATCATTATGCACTAATTTATCTTTTACAAGTTTGGATTTTTGTATATTGGTTTTCTTAAAGCAAGAACACAACTCAATTTTGATTAAATGTTTCCTATGGTAGAACTTCAGCCAAAGGTATGAAATGACCGTAATACCTACAGGTACCACTTAATTGCTATCCAAATGAAAGTCTGTTGTCATGTCAACATATTTACAGGGTTAACAAGTCCAAACAACTAAAATGAAAATCTTTCCCAAGGCTTCAGCAGATAATGCAAACAAGTAAAGCCAAGTTTGGGTTTATTTTTCCTGCTTACTACATCCTTATTGCTCTATAAAACATAGTCCTTAGTTTAATAACTCACCCCAAAGGGGAGTTTTATTGTTCAACAAAAATGTTCTTTATTGGAAAGTGCTTTTCTTGTTGAACTACTAACTGCTGACTCTTTAAGGTCTATTCAGTCTCTGCTTTTCTGTAAGCTAAACAGCCTCATTAATTTAAATTGGGACACTAAGAATTCAGGAAACTTTATTTTGCAACTTGTGGTATTTCTAAATTGGTAATTCTAAATATACCATTTCAAAAAACTTCAGAGACAGCAGTAACCAAGTTTATTTATTCATTCAAAGAAGTTTAGTATTTGCAAAGCACTGGGCTGGAGTCTCTGAGATAGGCAGAGATAAATAAGAAATTATCCATGTGCTTAAGGGATTCACAACCCTTCAGGTTACTGAGGCTGAAAATGTTTGTTTGGGGGGGGGGAGTGACCACTAGTTTGTCATGCAGAAGGAGAGGCATGAGTAGTCTGCCCATGTACCCTTGCTTTTAGGAAAACAGATTTCAAAAAGTTTAGAAGATAGTTAGGGATAGGAAACTCTTAAGAATGAAAATTTCGAAGACAAGGGAGAAATTTTCAGTAAGGAGGAAACTTATAGGTTGTCTGAAGAAAACAATGAGGATGCACAACGTGTTCACAATAAACATAGATTTTTCAAAAGATTTGAATTGAAGATAGAAGCAAGGGCAGGTAAGAGAGGATGAACATTAGATAATAGTACTAAAATATTATCAAGAATAGTAAAGATCAGGATAAGCTGAAATTGTGAAAGAAAGCCAAGGTCAACAAAACAGAATTTTTTCACTATATTGGTGGAAAGAAGATCTAAGAAGTGATAGACCTTCTGCTTGGGATGGCCAGGATAATGGCAACTGACAACAGAGAAAAGACAGAGCTGCTAAATTATTATTTTGTTTCTTCCTTGAGTACCAAGGAGAATGACTTTTTACACTGGAAATGACAGAACAACAATGTCTGAGAGGGAGCTGAAATCCAAGACCAATAAGGACATAGTAAGAGAACTCCTAGCTGCCCTGGCTCAGTTCAAATCATCTGGCCCAAATGAACTACATTCCTTGGCTCCTGAAAGAAGTTGCAGATGTGACTACACTATCGGTGATATCTGAATAATCACAGAAAACGAGAAAGGTGTTACAAGATTGAAGAAGGGCAAATGTAGTTCCTATTAAAAAAAAAAAAGCAAGAGAACAGATCCCACAAACTATATATCAGTAATTCTGACTTCTATTGTTGCTGGACCAGAATAGCTTCATCAAGAGAAGTCACGCCCAACTAAAATTTCCTTTTTTTGATGGAACTATTAACGTAGAAGTTTAGAATAATGACAAAGAACATGGTTTTTGTCCTGGCAACCGAATTGGTTTTGAAAATATCTTAAAATTGTATTTCAATATAACTAGCTTCCTCTGTAATCCTGTTTTTTTTTTAATTTTATGCATTTAAATATATTATTCTGAGAAGGGGTCCATAGGTGCCACCAGAGTGCCAGAAGGGTTCAGGACACAATAACAGTTAAAAACCCCTGAAATAGATAAAGTTTAACTAGATTTTAGCAAAACATTTGATAAGTCCTATGATATTACTCTTGTGGAAAAAACAGAGAATTATGGGCTCTATGATAACACAATTAAAGGGATTAAAATTAGTAGAATAGTCAACTTAAAGAGTAGTTGCTCATGGCAGGACATTGCCAGTGAAATGTCTGTAAAGTGCTTAGCACAATGTATGGCAGAGTAGGCACCATATAAATGTGTATTGCCTTCCCATCCCTTACCCTTCCATAGTGCCCCAGATGTCTGTCCTTGGCCTTAAGCAATTTAAAACTTTTATCAATGATCTGGATAAAAGCATAATTGGCATGCTCACTAAAAGAGCAGATGACACAAAACTAAAGGGGAGAGATATTCAAAGACAGGATCTGAAAAAAAAATCTCAATAGGCTAAAACACAGGGATGACTAAGAAGATGAAATTCAACAGGGCTGCATGTAAATCTTATCTGAGTACAAAAGAAATGTCACAAGTTGAGGATATGGAAGGCATGGTTAGACAGTTTTTGCTGTAATGGGGGGTTTTAGTGAACTGCAAGTTCAGTTTGAGTGAATGTCATTTGGGAGCCAAAAAACTAGTACAACATTGGGCTATGACAGAGAGGCACATTCTATTAATAATGAGGTAATAGTCCCTCTGTATTCACCCTTGGACAGACTGCCTGAAGAACTATGTTCAGTTCTAAGGTGCCACAATTTTAAGGACACTGATGAACCTCTAGAAAGGGGAAACTCCAATGGTGATCATGGCTTTGAGTCCATGTTATATTATGATAGGAGTATTGTCTCTAAATATATTAAAGATTGTCATCTGGAAAACAAATTAAACTTATTCTAATTGGACCCAGAAGCCTAGAGCTGTGGGTAGATGTTGCAAAGCGGTAAATTTAGGCTTGTTATCAGGAAAATTTTCCTAACAATTGGAGCTGTCCAAAAGTAGGATGGGTTGTATGGGAAGAGCTCATGGGAGAGCTTCAAAGCAGAGGATATGTAACCACTTGCTGAGCATGTTAGAGTAGATATTCCTTTTGGTATGGGTTGAACTAAATAGACTCTAAGGTCCCTTCCAACTTCAAAACTTTGTGATTCTATGAAATGGCTGATTCCAAGACCAAACCATGTGAAAGCAGAATAGGTGTGATGGACTAGGAAACTAAAGAACAAAGGTCCAAATAAGAATAATGAGCTGATTCAAGAGTCAGAGCAGCAAAGCATGAGAAGACAAGAAGATTCTGTCCATCAAAATTCCTTACATCACTGTCCAGGTCTCTCCTTTGTTGTGACCCCACCCAGCTGCACTTCTAAATTTCTGAACTTCAACAATGCCTCTGCTACAGTCTCATTATGGAATAGCCTTCAGCTCCTTGGGCTTCCTTCCCCTAGAATATCCATCTGCCATACTGTCCTCCTTCTTCAATTGGTAAGTTCCTCCTGGGCCTCTCCATTTTGGGAAGGGGACCAGGTTGGCCAAACTCCTATCTGTGATTCTGACTTTCCAGACTTCACCAGGTACCTTCACCAGCATCACCACCTCTTTTCTCCCCCTAGCCTAACACACACACACATACACACACACACACAAACACACACACACACACACACACACACACACACACACTTTTCAGCCTTTCTTGGTGTGCTGTCCTCACACATTAGAATCTAAGCTTCTTGAGGGCCGAGACTCTTTCTTCTTGCTTATATTTGTATTTCCCAGGCTTAGCACAGTGTCTGACACATAGTAAGCATTTAATAAGTATTTGTTGCCTGCCTACCCCACTTGATATTATATTTAACTGTGCTGATGTCAAATAGTCCCAGTAGACTGTAAGTTCCTTAAGGGAACGGATGATACCATTTTCATCTTAGTATCTCCAATATCTAACAGCAAAGTAATGGGTACTCATTCCTTTGCAGAGGTGGAAAGCCCAGTAGTGTGGAACACTGCATATATTTTCCAACATTTTTTGATAAATTGATCAGTTTGACAGATTTCTAAAATATTTTTCCTCTTTTCCTTTAGAAATATTCTTTGTTATATGAGATAACACTCTGGGAGCAGAAAGGGAACATTGGGAGAAGTTTTGGCTGTGTAAAGGTAAAAGCTGTCAATAAAAATTAATTTTGAAAAACAAATAAAAAGAAAGTAATTGGTGCCTAATTAAATGTCTAATGAATTGTTCTGAACTGACCTTTCAGGGAAGGAATTTTTAAGACCATCCGGAAGCATAGCAATATCAATTAATTGTTAAGTTTAGGGTTTGTCCATGCTTATTGATGATTGAGGTATTGTGCAGACGTTAGCAAGTGTGTATACATACACACATACATACATATACATATGTATGTATGTATATGTACACATACATGCATATTTTTGTTTCTGATATTAGAGAGAACCAGAAGCAATCTAAAACTTCATGGTTCACCATCAAACATGATCCACTCCAAGATGGTACCAGAATTAGGATATCAACAGAGTCCTTTAAGCTACTCTAGAACTAGTCTGGATCCTTCTAAGTCACCCCCAGACACTATCATGTGGTAAAGCAACCCAGCCACAATCTCAGCAATGCTAGAGCACTGAAATATATTAATGTCACATTATCATGGAACCCACTATTTTAAAATATGTGAAACCCCTAAAAAAGTTTAATCAATTCAAGAAGGCTGCTTCCTAGGAAAGAAGTTATGTTTTCCCCTCAGTTTTGGACAATACAGAGACTAGAACCTTTACAGAATAAACTCCTGGTTTTCGGAGAACCAAAAGAACATTGGGATATAAGTTCAAAAGCCTATGTACTAGTCTTAGCAAAGTAAGTAGCTTAACTGCAAAGGACTTGTTGACATACAGATTCTCTAGTGTTTATCTAGAAATCTTTCAGGATATCTCTTATATTTGCTTGCCCTAGTCTCTGCCAATGTGTCCCTAATGGATTGAAGTAGGCTTTGCCCACAGCAGGTCTTTAATTAAGTGTTTGCCAATTGAAAACATCATTGTTCAAGTGTCAACAAAACTGCCTGAAGTCCAAAGGTTCCTTTGTGAACACTGATCTACAGGGAAGAAAACTTAACAACCCAGAAGGCAAGTACAAAATCAACTATGTATTCATTCCCTGTATCTATTAATCATGTTTGTGTTTAAATTACATGAAAAGTATTTCTTTTCTTAAAAATCACACACAGCATATACTAACTTGGTTCTGGATGCTTTTCAGTTTCTCCAGTTTGCAACGTGCTGGTATTTATCTCCACTGTTGGGGAAACATCATCCTTGTCACAGTTTTCTAAAAACAGAACGTGTTTGATTTTTTTGTTTTTAATACAATCATGATACATGCATTCTTCAATAGCAAAGTCAATTCAGAAAACATGTATTAAGTAACTGTTCTGTGCAAATTGCTCTGTTAGGTGCTAGGGATACAGAAATGAAAATGGCAGTCTTTCCCCAGCTTACCATCTATTAAAGGATACAACACATACATAAATACATACATATTATATATGTACATATATGTATATATAATACACATAGACATATATATATGAAAATACATGTGTATATATACACATATATATGAAAACACATGTAATACAAATAACAATATGGTGCAAGGAAGAAAAATAAACAAAAAAATCTGTAAGATTCAGTTGAAGGAAGATTAAGTAAATTTTCCTACTTTCAAAAATGGATCATCATTTTTCTGTCTTGTAGAAAAATGCCATTCTATCGTCAACTGCACCACTCTGTTTCAAGGTATTCCTTCTTTACCAATTTTCTTTTTTTTAACAATATTAATCATAATAGCATATATTTATATAATAAAAACACTTAAATAGTGCTTCACTTCCCCCCTTGCTACTCACCTGGATGTGAATGCTGTCTCCTGAAAATATCATCTTCCTAGAAGATCGTATCAGTTCTGAAACTAAAATCTTTAAAGTATCCCCTACCCCTTACACCTCTCCTTCCCTTTGACTACAGAAGGTGGAGAGTAAACATCAGAGAGTTCTTGCCACATCCTCTATTTAATGAGGGAGCCCAAGGTGGATACCTCATAATTTCCCACCTGGCTACAGGACTTCATGTACCTATGCTGGGTACACTACCTTCTCTTGCTCTGTTTCCCACCCACTATCTTTTACAGCCTTTTTTCTAATGTGTCTTCCCCCATTAGAATGTGAGGATAAGAAATGTATTTCACCACTGGGCTGGGAATCAGGAAGGCTCATCTTTCCGAGTTCAAATCCTCAGCTACTTACTAGCTGTATGACTTGGGCAAGTCGCTTAACTCTTTTTGCTTCAGTTCCTCATCTTTTAAATTAGCTGGAGAAGGAAATAGCAAACCACTCCAAAAAAAAAAAAAACCCAAATGGGGTCACAAAAAATTAGACACACCTGAAAAACCACTAAACAACAACAGACTGCTTTAAGTTGGTAAAATCCTTAACAAATATTACCTCATTTGGTCTTCTAAACAACACAGTGAGGCAGAAACTATATTATCCCCATTTTACAGATAGAGAAAGAGAGTCAGAGTAAAGTTAAGTAAATTGTCCAGGGTTCTACAGCTATTAAGTGTCTAAGAGGAATTCAAACACAAATCTTTCTGACTCTAAAGCTCCCATTCTAATCCTCATGACACACAGCCTGTTGGCCAGAATCACAAAGATGATATGTCAAAGCCGGAGACTGATCACAGATTTCTCAAATCCATTACCCCACACTGCTTCTCATATCCTTGAGAGCCTATATGGAATAAGTGTACCACTTCTTCAACCTCAAAAGCTATGTGATTTCATCCATGTAAATATTCTCTCCCCTAACAGAGACAAGTAAAGCTTTCATACCTTCTCAGATGGATTCATGTCAAAAAAATTCATCATTTGATAGCTAACCTTCTGGTAATGTACCTCTCTACCCTTAGTTAGGTGTACAGTCTTGGGAAAGCATTTTTGTTACCAGAGGCATTCTAAAAACCTTTCTAGCTTTTACTACCTTTTATTTATCAAAGTTTGTGAGCTTTTAGCTTTGAGAGCCCATGATCACCTCCATACTATACTAAAGCATCAGAACAGGACTTGGGTAGAAAAAAAGAAGGCATGGGAGATTGATTTTTTTATTTATTTTGTTTAAGCCTAGCCTTGAAAAGAAATTATAATTAATGCGGGTTTACCTTTACTCATATTAAGACCTGGAGCAGACAAAACAATGTCCTTTGTAACAGGAGTGTCCAAGTCCTCATCAGACCTGGACTGGGTTTCTGATTTAGTGATTTTTCTCATCAATGCCAGTCGCACAGTTTGTCCTGTATGTCGTAAAAGCTCCACTGCTTGCTGGTTTGTAAAGCCCTGCAGATCCGTGCCATCCACCTTAGAGAAAGGGAGGTCAGATGAAGAATAAACACATGACTCTTGATTCAACAAATATGCTAGGCACTATGAAAGATACAGTAAAATACAGGACAGTTCTCCTTAAGAAGCTAACATTTTAGCAGGGGAGATAAGACTTTAGGAAGTCATAAAGGGCAGAGATTATTTCATTTTTTTTTGTTTTGCATTTGAATACTCAGCCCTTACCATAATTCCTGGCATATAATAAGCTCTTAATAAATGCTTATCGATTGATTAATTGATAACACATACACCAATAACAATATAATGGAATACCAGATATTTGCTATATAGTGAGAAATAAATTACTCCAGGAGGTAAGAGGAATGTAAACCCATGCTTATAATTGTTTTTATTTATCTAAAATCAAGCCTGTAGTGGATAAAACAAAAAAAAATTAATCACCTTCCTTTTTTAATCCATAGTTAATGCCAAAAATTCTAAAATAAAAAGAAAATTAGATGAAATAGTGATTATATGTGGTCTATAATCACTGTCTCACACTTTTTTTCATTTTGAAATTATTTTATACACAATAACACTGTGAATAATTTTTAGATCTTCTGCAATCCTTAAGCCATTATACATTGCTCAAGTCAAAAACAAAAAGGACATAAACATATGTAGGAAAGGGTTTAAATTTTCATGACACCAGTTGGTAAACCTGTGTGACTATAAAGCACTGTCAGTGCCATCAATAAACTCATCCTGGGATATAGACATACATTCTTTTTCAATATTTTGAGGACTCATGATATTATCAATGACAGTATTCCCTATATTGGCAGAGACTGCAGCCCTTCTTCTCCTTGATAGATCATCTATATGAACTGTTGTGGCCAAAAAATTCTCTACTCAGTAGCCATCCTTCTGGAATGAAGCTAGCTGGCATGGTCCTTCCATAATAGATAGCCTATTGTTGGACCTATGTACTCCACTGGCACAGCCTCTGAAAAGCCAGGGTCACTCTCCACACCATAAGATATAGGATACATAAAGACATCTCATTCACATACAGAGATAAAATATTCAGTCAACGAGCATTTATTCAGTAACTCCTAAGCTTAGTGGACACAAAGACAAAAGTATATAGGCCCTGAACTCAAGGAGCTTACATTCTTAAGGGAGAGACATCATGTACAAATACATGCATAAATAAAAAAGGTACAAAATAAATACAAGGTTGTTGGAGAAGACACTAACATCTGAGGGTGGGGGTCAAGAAAGTCCTTCAGTTTCCTGTGAAGAAAATTAGAGATTCTCAGAGGTAACAGTGAGGTGAGAGGACATTCCAAGAATGAAGGACAACCTTTTCAAAGGCAGAGAGGCAGTGAGGCAATATCATGTCAGTCAATCAGTCAATGAACATTTATTAGGCACCTATTATGAGCCAGAATATGTAGAAACATATAGGAACATATCTACATATTAAAATTAAGAGGGGCAAATGGTTGCTATAAAAGGTGGGATTTTAGCTGGGATTTGAAGGAAGCCAGGAAAACCAAGAGAAAAAAATGAGGAGGGAGAGCCCTCCATGCATAGGGGTTAGCTAGTCCAACCTATTCATCAATTCATTATTTTATATATATACACATACATATATACAATTTGTAAATATTTGCTAAATTAAAAAGTCACAGTAGAAATAGCACCATATTTGCAGCAAGAGGAACTTAGTTCAAATCCTGACTCTGCTACTCACTACCTATATAACTCTCTAGACAAATCATCAAACCGCTCAGGACCTGAGTGTTCTCATGTGAAAAAAGGAGGTGTCATACTAGATGATCTATAAGATTGCTCCCAACTCAAGATTCATGATCCTACTTCAATACTTGTCAAGACTCATGATTTTTTTGACAAGGGCTCTCTCTCCACCAGTGTAGATCAGCATCCATGACTTTATGAACTCCTTAATAAGTTATGGTATGCCATATTTCAGAAGCCGGTGACGAACCAGTAGCCTTTTCACACTCAGTGAGATGGGTGCCCAGACTACAGACAGAAAATACATTGCTGGCTCCATATGTGAAGCTCTTGTTGCTTTAGAGGAACTGAGCAGTACAACCTTTGAGAACCCCAAATCACTTCCACATACCAATGAGGGGATTAGCTACAAGATTAACATAAGTCCTTGGAATTATGTTCATAAAAAGGATGTGGCAAAAATCCAATTCTAAATACACAATATATGTGTATATATATGCACATATGTATGTATGTATGTATATATATATATATATATATATATATATATATATATATATATATTTCATGATTACACAGAATTCCCCAAAATACCAAAGAATTTAAGCTGAGTTGCTTTTTCATTTTTAGTTTCACAATTCTGTGTTTTCTCTCATAGCACAGCTGCATATCAAAATAGATTGTATGCCCACTTATCCATTTAACTTCAATAATTTAAATTCATCAAATAGTCTAAAGAAAACAAAATAGGTACTTTCTCCTCCATTCTCAGAAACTATAGCTCATACTTAAAAAATATAATCTTCCCTCCCACTTTTCTTTCCCCCTACTCCATACATGAAGAGGAAAGACTATTTTTTCTTTAAGAATAGTAACAGGCAGCAAAGTATCCCTAACTATTCAAGGATGTAGTTTCTACCTGGTTAAGGTCTTTGAAGCAGCTAAGTGGTACAGTGGATAGTGCTGGTCCTAGGGTCAGAAATATCTCAATTCAAGACCACAGACACTTAAAAGTTATGTGACTCTAGGCAAGTCACCCCATCTGTTTGCCTCAGTTTCTTCAACTGTAAAATGGGGATAGTTACAGTTCCTACTTCTCAAGGTTGTTGTGAGGATCAAATGAAATATTTGTAAAACAGTATAGTGGCTGGCACATAGTAGGCACTTTAAAAATACTTCCTTCCTAAGGTAAATGCCAAGTAGAAGTAAGATTGTGGAGCCCTGACCAGTTTTGGTTGCTCTATGTTCATATATATACCAGGATATATAGAGATATAGACTCGACCATGGTACCTCAATCACTAGGACTATAAGGCACCAATCATTTAATGCAAAATGGATCACAAAAGAGAGATTCAACCTATCCATTAATGTCACAGACTGCTGCCAAGATACGTCAATTCTTTACTACAAATAATTTGGGATTTTTCTAGTGGGTAAATGTAAAGTTCTAAAAGTTCTTAATTTCCCACCCCAAGCGAGATGGCATCAAACCAGTTACTCATACACCCAATACCTTCAAAATGACTTAATAGACCATACTAGGCAGCATTTAACTTCAAACTAAACATAGTAATATTCTGAAGTCCTTTTCTGATGTTTGTAGGAAAGTTTATAGTAACTTTCTTAAGCAAATGTAATACTCAACTTGTCTTTAACAAAGATTATTATGTATCAGTCAAAAAGAATGCTATTAAAATACCTCTACTAGGTCTGTATCTCAAAAGAGATAAAAAACAAAAAAGAAAAGGACCTATATGTACAAAATATTTATAGTAGCTCTTTTCCAGGGGTAAAGAATTAGAAGTTGACAGGATGCCCATCAACTGGGGAATGGCTGAAAAAGCTGTGGTATGTGATTATGATGGAATACTGTTGTACCATAAGAAATGATGAGCAAGATGCTCTCAGAAAAACCTGGAAAGACATGCATGAGTTGATGCAAAGTGAAATGTACTGTGTACAAAGTAACAGCAACATCGTAAGATAATCAGTCGTGAATAACTTAGCTATTCTTAGCATTACAATGATCCACAAGACAACTCTGAAAGATTTGCAATGAGAAATGTTATCCATCCCCAGAGAGAGAATTGTTGGTGTCTGAGTATAGATTGAAGCATACTTTTTTTAACTTTATTTTTCTTGAGTTTTCTTTTACAACATGACTACTACGAATTTTTTTGCATGACTATATGCGTATAACCAATATGGAATTTCGGGGGGGGGGGAATAATAAGGGAAGAAAGGAGAGAATTTGGAATTCAAAGTTTTGAAGATGAATGTTAAAGATTGTTTTTACATATGGCTAGGGAAAAATAACATACTAAATAAAAGCTTAAAAAAGAATGTCACTGGGGCAGCAAGGTGGTGCAGTGGATAGAGCACCGACCCTGGAGTCAGGAGGACCTGATTTCAAATACAGCCTCAGACACTTGGCACTTACTAACTGTGCGACCCTGGGCAAGTCACTTAATCCCATTGCCTAGTAAAAATAAACAAAAAAAAATCAAACCCATTCTCAAAAAAAAAGGTCACTATTAATGTCATAATTATAGAGTAATTTAAAGTTACAATTCTTTTTTTCTTTCATGACAACCTTGTTGTGTTATATAAATCAGGTAGTACAAGGATTATTCCCTTTTTACCAATGAGGAAACTGTGGCTTGGTGAGGTTAAATGATTTGCTCAGAATAATACAGGCAGTTTTGGAGCTGAGACTCACATATGTCTTCCAGTCCATGTATTTTTCCAGTAGACTATCTGATTCTATCTAACATTGATTAAATAAACCATCTAACTGTTACAAAAGAAAAAGTGCTGAAAATAGCAAAAAGAATTTAAAGTTATTTGTTTTAACTCCATAAATATAAAAAACAGTGAAATGTTTGTTACCTGGCACCCAAAACTCTAGTGGGTCTGAAGAGGCTGGCATTATAGCAACTCTGACATTTAATGAACAGTCAAGTAGAAGAAAATTCTTATGCCTATAGTCATGAAAATGCAACCTGAGCTGAGTACCTTTTAATAGCATGTTTTAAATTATCCACAAGGTGCTAATGTTTCCTCTTCAAATTGATGTAAATGTCAAAAATTGGATTGGAACTAAAGTAAGTTTTTTTTTAATAACAGTGATTATGACTAACTAGGAGATTAAAGTGGTGACTGCTGATGAAAAATGGAATATTTTGAATTTTGCTAAAAACCAAAGAGCTTTGATGAAGATTTCAAGGTAATGATTCTAAATACTGTAAGAAACAACTTAGAAAAACAAAAACAAATAAACAAAAAAAACATTCACTATCTCTGTGACCCTGGGCAAGTCACTTAACTCCACTTGCCTCACCAAAAAGCAAAAAAAACAAAAAATAAATAAAAAACAAAACAAAAGAACTTGGAAGCTTTGGCCTTTGAATCAATAATTAACTTTTCAGTTAAAAAGTCATGTTACTCTCTCTAAGAGGTTATATAGCCTTCCATCTCAATGAGAAAGAAGTAAATGACAAATATAGGTAAATTGTAGTGCCATAGCTCAAAATATTTTAATTTGTATATTTGTATATTTCCATGTGTGCCCAGGGTATATTCTGCTTATTTAAAAATTATTCTGTAAGCTCCTTGAGGGTAGGGGAGTTTTCATTTGCACTTTTGTATCAAAAATGTTAGTACATAGCAGGCACTTAATCAAGGTTTCCTGATTGATTGATTTCTACTTCACTTGCTTGCTTACCTATTAAGTACAGTGTGGAGTAGAAAAAATAAAGGGGAACAGAGAAAGAAAAGAAGTTGGTAAAGAAGAGAGTAAATAAGTTTGTTGAGACCAAGCTTGAGCAAGGTTAGAAACACAGGACCTGAGGAACATCTTGGCACTTGCCAACTAGCTTAATAATAGGTACTGAAAATTAAGTGAGAAAAGAGAAAGTAGGGAATCAGGCATATTTCCAGATTGAGGTTTATTTGTTTTGCTGAACAGAAACACTAAGGAAAGCTATTTGTATTGATAGACAAATTGGGTGAAGGCCACCCAATCAGCAGAATCAAGGTTCAGTCACTACTACAGAGTTTCTGCTAGGAGTCATGAAGAATTTCACAGGGAAGGTACATAGTAACAGAGCAAAAAGCAAAAGTCTGAGGAGGAGTACTAGTAGCAGTAATCATTATCATCAGCAGCAACAGCAGAAACATCCCCATCATCTTGTCTGCACCCGGAGTTGTCCCAAAGTGCTTTCAATGAGTCTGCTGAAGGTGAACTTACATCCCAATACTTTAATTCAATTACAATTCAGCCACCTTATCCACTTCCATAGTAGCCCACAGAAAATTAAATGTAAAAGAATGACAATAGCGTTGTGCCAGAAACGTTTCCGTCTTAACTCTATCAAAAAAAAAAAAAAGATAAAGAGATAATAACAATAACAATTCTTATTTCAAAAATCTATGATTTTATTAGGTGTGGGTGCTCTGGCGATCAACAAAGAATTCCTCAATAGCTTATTGAATAATCTTCTTGAATGTTTGTGGCCAAAAAATTTAACATATTGTACCTTATAATCTACTGAGGAGCCCTTCTGCACTGAACTAGACTACTCCTTGGACAACAGACATATCATTGCCAGGTCTGTACTAGAAGTCTTTCCAGGTTTGTTGCATGTACCAGGGCTTGCACATTCCTGACCCAGTCTTCAAAGCCCTGAGTTACCTCTCTGTCATGCATGGTAAAGCACTGGAAAAGAACTTTAGTAAAGGAATAATAATAATAATAATAATATTAATAATAATTCCTATTATTTACATGTATCTTTTAATTCAATTCAACAAGCATTTATTATCTACTACATATCAGGTACTGGAATATCAAATGAATGAATGAAATGGTCCTGCCCTCAAGTAGCTCACATTCTACTGTGTAGATAAACATGTTCACAGTATACAGATAAACATAAATATATACTGAGAAAATATAAAGTTATTATCAGTGGGAGGGCGGAAGAACAACCAGGAGTCGTCAGGAAAAGGCTATTAGAGTAAGTAGTATGGTAAATGGACCTTGAAGGGAGGAAAGTGAAGTGTTCCAAGCACTTTATTATTTATAAATTACTTTTTATATAGTTTCTCATTTGATTCTTATATAAGTACTATGTGGTTAGCAGGATATATATGATTATTATTCCCATTTTACAGATGAAGAATCTTCATTTCTAGCAGGTTAAGTGACTTGTCTAAGGTAATACAGGTAGTAAGAACCAGAGCCAAATCTCCAAATCCAATATTCACTGATGTGCAGAATCTGGTAATTTGTTCCTATTTTTATGTCTTTGAAAGAACATCTGTTTTAGCAGAGAGAAAGCATTAAATTGGATTAAGGTCCCTATTGATCTTAGGAGACTGCTTTTGAAAATTGTCCTCCACATCTGTATTCCAAAAGTTTTCTGATAAGCATCATTTTTGTAAGGTTACTTGTTAGCAACAAAGAGGTTAATTAAAAGAAAGTGAGCCTATATCTTCCGAAAAAATCTTAATCAATACCCACAATGAAAAGATACCCTGGTATGTCCAAAACTACACACCTAACCAGTCCTAGAGAAAAAACATGAGTGTCACCAAGTGGTCCAACTGAGTAACTGCAGGTATTTAGTTTTCCATCTACATCATATGTAAAGGCTATGATTCCCAATCTTTGGTCATGGACTCCTGATAGGGTCATAGAGTTAATTCAAGGGGTCCATATTCTGTATATTTATTCAATTAACCAAGATAATTGTACATAATTTTATTACGTGTGGACGTTCAAAATTTTTCACGTTAAATATCTGAAAAGTGTAGGACCTACTTAACTAAGACTTGTGATTTCTGGGTTTAACCACTCTAAAACATAAATCTAATGTATAAATATAATATTAAGGTGATAATTAAAATATAAAACAGACACCAAGAATTTATTCAAGAAAATTCATTTCAGAGTAAAACTTGAAATCAATACAGATCTGATCCCATTTCTGGTCTATAACACAATATAAACTGAACACATAGATGTCTCAAAATCTTTAAGATATGGTTAAGTTATTTTTATTAAAATATTAAACTTCAATTATCCAAAAGATTACATAATCAGGGAACTCATCCATCAATAAAGCAGGATAACTGAAGTATTTTTATATGCAATAGGTTTAAATATTGTTAGAGATGGAAAGGTGTTTAAAAAAATTTAATTGATAATAACATAAATTTAAATGTAATGACCAATATTCTCCCCAAGAAAAGATGAGGTGGGGGACTACTGGCGCAGAATATTACATACCATATCAGACACATTTGCTATACATAGAGTTGTATCTACATGTAGATTTTGAAATTATCTTTGAAGTTTTTTTACTTATCCACTTTTCTTCCTTGCAAGGGAAATGTCACATAAAAACCAAGTATCAATAAATAAAGCTTTTAAAATAGTATTTAAAATGTCAAGTTTTAAAAAAGAAATCTAATCTACCCCTATCATTTTAAAGAGGAGGAAATTAACTTACTGCTATAATTTGGTCACCAACACGGATCCTTCCATCATGTTCAACAGCACTGCTTTTTGTAATGCTCTTTACAAATATACCTGAAGATTCTGAGAATTGTTAAAAAAACAAACAAACAAATGTTACTATTTTGTTACTGTTCTATATGGCAATCTAAGCATGCCCTTAGAAATATCTAAATTAAAGACAACAGAGAACATAACAGATATTTCCCAGTTCCATATCTAAATCTACAATTTTATATAATCCTACTGGCTACCATTTTAGATAAGCAGCATAATGGAGTCCCAGTGGCCAGCCATTAAAAAAGAAACAAAAAACTGTTTTAAACTAATGCTAATAGACAGACCAACACCCCATCCCCCCAAAAAACGAAGGAAAAAACTAGGCATATTATTAAAGAGATTATTAAAGTAGATTTTATTTGACCTTCAATTTTACTGCCATCACCTCTACGATCCATTTCCTATTTCAATGGTATGATGACCTAGAAATCTTGCTTATATGGATAAAAGGACTACTCATTCTAGAGGGTGCATTGAGACCTTTATGCTTATGTTCTCCTCAATGGCTACATAACCTTGGATTAAGGGATCAAATGTCCCTAAAACGTCCCTTTATCAAGATTGGTATTTCCATACCCATTTCACCTAAGGTTCCCGGTCTAAAGTTGTTCTTTATAAGCATACAGTCCAATGATATCAAGTGAAGCTTTACTGTTTATATATCTATCTGAGAAAGAATATTTCATAAAACAAAGACATCATACAAAGCTATAGGAGCACAGTTTTAAAACATTTTATTTTAATTTATTACCCGATTTTTTATCTCCAATGTAACCAGCAATGGTTATTCCTAATCCTTGGATATTTTTGGTGAGCTCTACATGGAATGTTTCAATCTCTCCATTTTTCTGCATGGACATTTCCACCTAAATTAAAAGAGCAAATAAAAATAGAGACTTTAGCTCCATTCAAGAAAATGCAATTCTTACATAGAAATGATATGACTGATTCAGACTCCACAGAAAGCTAGGAAAACTATTTACTATATTGAGAATTTTTAGTAATGTGGCCTGCTTCTTTTGCTAATCTAACATAGTTTAAAAAATAAAATTCCTTTACTAAAAGGATGCCCCAGAAAATATGCAGGAAAACAGAATTTTAAAAACCAAATCCTGCTTTGTCATCAACTTCTATCACTCTTTTGGAGGTGATTCTTCTTTACAAGTAAGAGTACAATTTGATCTTCTCAATCAATCAACAGGCTTCAGGGATGCAAAAATAATCCTTGCCCTTATGGAACTTACATTATAATAGGAAATAAAACATAAATAGCTAGAGCCTAATATTTAAATTAAAAGAATTTTTGCACCTCTACACTCCATTTACCACCCCAAGCCATTCTTTCATATAACTAATAATAGTTCATATTTATGTAATGCTTTGAGATTTGTCAAATACACTCTCCAATAATAACCCTGTGAGGTAGATGGTACAAGGATTGCTATCCTCATTTTATGACAGATGAGGAAACAGAGGCTCATGGAGGTCAAGTCATGCCCATAATTATACAAGTCAGAACTCAAATCCAGGTTTCTTGATTATAAGATCAGTGCTCTTTCCATAACAACAATATTATATTTTCCTAGATCAATAAAGTACATACGGGCACTGAAGTGCACAAGGAATCCAACAGCAAGCTGGTGGGTCTGCATGCCTTAAGTCTCTCCTCATTCTAATCCATGCAGCCCCCAAAGTGATTTTCCTAAAGTGCAGGTCCCACAATGTCACCTTCCTACTGGATAAACATCAGTCATTCCTTATCTCCTCCAGGATCAAATAAGAAATTCTCTTTTTTGGCATTCAAAGCCCTTTATAACCTATCCCTCTACTTTTCTCCCCCCGCCCCACACACATATATACCTTTCCAGTGTTCTTACCCTTCCCTCCCCAGCATGTACTCTTCTATCCAGTAACATTGGCCTCCTAGCTGTTCTGCAAACAGGCTACTCTTTCTTTCTGCTCCAGGCATTTTCTCTAGCTGTCTCCCATTGCTGGAATGCTCTCTCTCTTTGCCTACTGGCTTTCCTGGCCTCCTTCAAGACCCAGCTAAAATTCCACCTTCTAGAGGAAGTCTTTCCCACTTCCCTCTGTTATTTCCTATTTATCCTCTATTTACTCTTTACCCTAAATATTCTATTTATCCTCTGTGTATGTATATGCATACATATGTAAAAATCCCATATATCCTATACAAACATGCACTTTCTTTCTACTTTTCTTCCCCATTAGATTGTGAGGTCCTTGAGAACACCTGTCTTTTGCCACATTTTGTATGCCCAGTGCTAAGCTCCTGACACATAACAGGCACTTAACAAATGCTTAAGACTGGCAAATTCTTTTTTAAATTGAATAACCCTTTTGTAAGATGTAAAATTATATCTTATTGTTAAGAAGCCTGATTTAGTGGACAGCCTCTAAGTCAAGAATAATTGGGTTCGGGGCTGCTAGGTGGCACAGTGGAGAAAGCACCGGTCTTGAAGTCAGGAGGACCTGAGTTCAAATCCAGACTCAGACACTTGACACTAGCTGTGTGACCCTGGGCAAGTCACTTAACCCCAACTGCCTTTAAAAAAAAAGAATACTTGGGTTCAAGTCCCATCTCTGACAGATACAGGTTTTGTGACCCTTGGCAAGTCAAGTCTCAATGCCCTAAGCAATTGGTTTCTAAGATCATAGCTATCCTGTAAGATCTAGTCTACTTAGGTAGAGGGAGTTTCTAGTTTCACTAGGTGCTCCCTATACCAAAGAAATCACATATCTAGTATAAAACAAAATCCTATACTGTATTTTTTTAAATTATGAGTTTTGTACCAGGCTTCTTTAAATAAGAATATATTTTTACTACACACAAATAACCTTCCTTCTTAGAATGCCAATATGATCTAGATTTCAAAACGTGCCAACACTCTCCAATCTGTGAAATTGTGCCACCAATGAATGGTTAGGCATTAATGAGCTGGTCATTAGCTGACTAGTGAAATAATTTAAATCACTAATACACAATGAATCATGAGGCATCAGTAGACTGGATTGGATTACCAACACAAGCCATTTTTACTATAAAATGACAATACCCTAGTCTCTGATCTTGGGCCAAGTGGGGTCTAAAGCTGGGTATTCTGGACCTCTTCAAATCCTAACTACATCTCATTGACATTCCACCTAAAAGATATAATGCTATACATAAAGTTTGATTTCATTTTTCCCTTACACATAATTATCTGTGCAAACTTAGCAAAAGTTTAGAATTTAGATAATTACCAGAAAATGACAGGATGAAATCTGCTTCAATGGAAACAAATGTGTTTTCTATTTTTAATAAGACTTATGCGAGTGCTATTTTAGAGGGTGGCAATTTGACTATCAGATGATTTTAAAAGGGGCACAAGCTCCAGAAATGAGGATATGCACAGAATAGAGTTTTTTAAGCATTCAATTACATGAAGTGGTTTTGGTACTGCATTCATTTATGTATTGCTGAATAAAATCTTTTGTTTATCACAAAAGAATGCCATTTAAATGCTTTCCCAAACAAGAGTTCTCTTTCTTTTTTCTTTCCTTTCCCAAAAAATAACAGCCAAACCTATACTACAGACAATAAAATCATGGAAAATTCCAGTTATCTAACTGAAAAAATTTCAAACATTTGCTAAGGAGTTCAAGATTGCTCCTCCTTCCCCCACTTCATCCCCCAAGAATTAATAATCTGTTTAGAATAATATCAATTTGATTTTTTTAATTAAAAAAACATGGGAACATTTATATATATATATATATATATTTACAATTATTATAATAATTATCTATTATTTTTTTACTGTTATTCTTTAAGAACTAAGTATTGGGAATACAAATATTTTTGGAGGCAAATTCATAATTAGTAAATACTCCCTAATGGCATATAGCCAAAAAATTGAAATAATGACTCCACTGCAGAAATTTTCACATGAACTTTCAGAATGTTCTTTCGTATCAGAAATCAAAGACAAGTATGAGATTCCTATGAATAAAGATTTGATCACTAGCAATGGGCAGCAAGCTACAGATGTAAATCATAAACTAAATACTACATTTTGCTTGAGTGTTTAATCAGAATAAAAGGAAGGATCATTTCCCACAAACCTTTTGTGTTCAATTTGGCACCAGGTACAAGACGGTTATCTGTTCTTTCCAAACAAAATGCTAAATGTTTTATGTTAAAAACTTGTCCATTTTTATCAAATACAAATTTTTTTTCAAAAAAACTTAACGAAAGGGTATTTTCTAGTTGCTCAGCTCACAAAAAACCTTTAAAGACCCTTCTGGTTAGGCAAACAAAGAGGGAAAAGATTAGAAGATTTAATACATTAATACTAAAGGCTAGTCTTTAAAAATATATCCGTCAGAGCACCATATCTCAACACTCTATCTGAGCATGAATGAATGATTCATTACAGAATAACCTCTTTTTATAATTTACTTTTTCCCTCCTAAAAAAAAAAGCAAGTTTTTTTTTAAATTTCCCTCATCAGGCTATTTGAAGAAGGGCTCTGTAAATTTTAAGCTACTGTATAAATGTGAGCTATTATTCCTTTGTAGCTAAATAGTCTCCTTGCTTAACAGACTGCCAAGCTTTTAGCAAATTTCTCTTTAATGTATTTGTTAATTAGAACTAAAATATGACAGAATTTGCCCATTAGTTCGGGTTCTGTATAGCATAACTTTGTAACTTGTCTTCCAAATCAGTTTGGGTACACTCACCTGCTTTTCCGACATGGAAGACATTGAAGAGGATAATGTGATGCCTGAAGAAGTTGTTCCCGTGGGTTCTTCTATGATGCCTCTTGCAATCACCAGCTTGACTCGATTCCCACACTGCCTGAGCACTTGTGCTACTTGCTCACTGCTCATACCAGCCAAGTCTGTCTCCCCAATTTTCAGGATATGGTCTCCGCTACATAATCGCCCGTGCTGAGGGAGACAGTGAATGATTAATGACCCAAATATTGTCCTACAACGGAACTACTGACCTAAAAATATTATTGTTTTTAAATCACATAATTTTTGTAAAGTCAAATGCAGGAAGAAATTAGCTTTGTGAAGTGCCAGTAAAAGATGGACATAACTTTGCTTGCGAATTTGAGAGCCACTTATTACAGAATAAATGAGGCATACGCAAATGAGCTTCTAGTCAGATCAAACAAAAGATATTTATTGTGTATCTTCTATGTAAAAAAATAAAAACAAGCACATAAAAATTATCATTTGAATGGGTGGAGGCATAAAGGAAGTTCAGATCATTGTGAGCTAGTAAAATCATGGCACTGAAGGTATCTAATAAGTAAAAGTAAGAAAAAAGGTAGTAGAAAGGAAAAAAAAAACACAGTCAGCTTGGTGTAGTGGATAAAATGGTAGGTTTGGAATCACAAGATAGATTCAGATCTCATATCTGCCACTGACTTTGTTATGTGACCATACGTAAATCACTTAAACTCTCTGAGCCTCAGTGTCCTTGGCTATAAAACAGTAATGATAATTAATATCTGTGCCCCTTACCTTCCTTGTAGTGAGAATCTGTTGCTATGATACTTGTAAATCCCTTAGCATAGTAGGCTCTATGTAAATGTTAGCTATTGTTGTTATTATTATTAAATCGCATGTAAAGCACAACCTAAATGGCAGCTATTAATAGAAAGGAAACAAAAAGGAAAGAGTAAAAGCCCTAAGATAGAAACGCACAGAAGTACTCAAGGGACAAAACAGCAGGTCAGACTGGCAAGAACTTTCACAAAGTATTCACAAAGAGAACAGATGCAGATACAATTGCAAAGGTAAAGATAACCCTAGATTGTGGAGAGACCATGGATATGGTGGAGGAATAAGTGTTTCATTCAAAAGTTAACCCATTCTATATCTGTTCTCCATAATATTGCCACAATCACCTTCCTTTAAAGCACTGGTCCAGCCTTGTTACTTTCCTGCTACAAATTCTATAGCTGCTCCCTATTGCTTCAAAGATAAAATATGAACTGCTCAGCTTGGCATTTAAATCATTCACAATTGGACTCCAGCCTAACTTTCCAGATCAATTTCATGTTACTCCCTTTCATTAACTCTGGGTTCCAGGACAATTAGCCTAACTGCTATCCCCTGAACTCGACATTTTTGCCTCCAAATCTTAGTACAGATTGTTTCCCACCCTCATCATCTCTACTTTTTACAATTCTTAATTTCCTTCAAGACTCATTTCAGGTGCTACATCCTCTGTGAAGTCTTCTTGATCTCTCTAGTAGGTAGTGAGTTTTCTCTTTCTCTCTCTCTCTCTCTCTCTCTCTCTCTCTCTCTCTCTCTCTCTCTCTCTCTCTCTCTCTCTCTCTCTCTCTCTCTCTCTCTCTCCCCTCAAATAATTGCACATTTCCTTATCAGTGTATACTGTAGAATGTCAGCTCCTTTGAGGGCAGGGACTGTTTCTAGAAGTCTCAGGATCCTAGCACAATGTTTTTGTTAATAGCAAGAGATTAGTAAGTCTTTGTTTAATAGGTTTAAATCTCTCCATTAAGTGTCTCTGCCTAACAAGAAAACCATGACAGTGATGGAAGAAATTCATCTAGTTGAGTATGCTGAACATATCAGGGAACAGTGTCAGGAGGTAGTTTAGAAGGCTAATGCAGTACTCCAGCCATGCTTCAAATGAAAAGAACCTGTGAACTACAGTGTTAGATATAGGGAAAGGAAGGAATAAAGGAACAAATATTAAAAGACATTTTGAAGGAAAAGTAGATAGGATTTATCTTGGCTAAATAGCATTTAGTCAAAGATGATAAACAGAATTAAATTACATACAGAAAATCAGATGATCGTGATATCGACTATTTCTTATTTTATTGTTGTTGCTGTTGTTGTTGCTGTTCAGTGTCTGACTCTTCATGACCCCATGTGGCAAAGATTCTGGAGTAGTTTGCCATTTCCTTCTCCAGATCATCTGATAGATGAGGAAACTGAGGCAAACAGGGTTAAGTGACTTTCCCAGGGTCACATAGCCAGTAAGTGTCTGAGGTCAGATTTAAACTTAGGAAGATGAGTCTTCCTGACTTTAGGCTTGGCACTTTATCCACTATGTCACCTAGCTGCCCCTTATACTATTATAATACAACCAAATTGAGAAAGTATAAGTGAATTGAATTTACACAAATTGTAAAATATATTTAATAACAGATATGAATCCTTCCCTCATCCTTAACTATATACATAGACACTTAATAAATGTGTATGTATATACATACATATATATACACACATCTACATATATTTATACATATTTATTAAGCACCTATGTGCCAAGTACTGTGCTAAGTACTGGAAATATTAAAAGAAACAAAAAGATAGTCCCTACCCTCCAGGAGCTTATAATCTAATAGGGGAAACAACAGTCAAACAAATATGTACAAATCAAGCTATATACAAGATACAGAAGAAATAATTAACAGAGGGAAGATACTAGAATTAAGAGGGGTTGAGGAAGGCTTTCTGTAAAAGATAGGGTTTTACTTGGGACTTAAAGGAAGACAAGAAAGTCAGCAGGCAAGGTTGAGGAGGGAGATTTTTCCAGGCATGGCAGGAGAAAATTCCTGGAGGGGAAAGATAGAAAAGCCAGGAGACCAGTGTCACTGGATCAAAGAGTACATGGCAGAGAGTAAGATGCAAGAAGACTGGAAAAGTAGGAGGGGTCTAGGTAATGAAGGTCTTTAAATGAGAAACAAATGATTTTTTATTTGCTCCAGGACTCAATGGAGAGCCAATGGCGTTTACTAAGTAGGGAGACATGGTATGACATGATTAGACCCGCACTTTGGAAAAATCACTTTGGTGGCTGAATGGAATACAGATTGGAGTGGGGAAGACACTTGAGGAAGGCTGATCCACCAGCAGGTTATTGCAAGATGATAGATCGATTGATCGCCTGATAGATAGAAAAGCTAGATATATAGACATACATATGTACATATAGATGGATAGGTCTAGTTCTAAATATATGTAAGACAATCTTTCTGAAAAATACCTGGAATCTTTATGCCTTTTTGATAGAAGGTGTCTACAAAGATGAGAGGGACATCTATTGTTCAAATATGCATTAATTTGTATTATAGTGCTATAGACCAAAAGGTAACACAGTGATTCTTCCATGGAACTATTTCCCTCTTAAATTAGCCTGCAGAGTTAATATTTAGGTCCTTACTTCAAAAGAACTTAAAAAGAGAGGAGCTAGCATGACTTGGTTATGTCCTCTGCTAAATAAAGATACACAGCAAGAGCTTTCAATGAAAGCAAACTGCTTATGTTACATCCAAGTGCTGTCTAATATCAACAGCAAGAAAGAGCAAAAGCTGATTAATTACATTTCTATTTACTCCTTGATGATAAGACTAAATTTTTACATAATGCTTTCTGCGTTGATTGTCATCATGAGCATAGGAAATATATGTTGAGCATAGATCATTGGTACGAAAGTTAAGACATGAAATTAAAATATGTGTCTGAAATACAGTTTCCATTTATAAATGGCTATAATCAAGGATGAACTCTTCACAAAAATAATTAACTTTATAAACTATGGAAGCATATTAAAATATTTTTTTCCAGTTTCTCTAGAAAGATTAAGAAATAACATTTCCCCCAAACTGTTTTCCAGACTCCTTGGGGACAGGTTGAGAAAAAAAGGCCTTTCTTTAGGTGAATATAGTTAAAGGTTATCTCCTCAGTCCCTTGAAGGGATTAGACAAAAGTCCACTTTATGGAAGTACCCTTTCATGAAAACAGGGGCACTCTCATGGCCCCCTATTTAACTTCAATTTCCTTAAAGGTAGTGGTCCAGGAGGAATGGGATGGTCACTAGGTTCCTCACTTCTAGTAGGATAGTCCAGAGACTGTATTTTAAGGTATCTTTTCCCATTTCAAGATTTCTATAAATGTTATCTGATATTTTCTTGGGGCAGAATCATGTTGTAGGGCACAGGGGATGATGCTAGTTTGGATATCTTATTTTTAACCAAGCTAGAAATAGCTTGGATATTAATTAATGGTAAATTAAATAAAACTTTTTGGCAGACTGGTGCCCAAATACAGAATACAGTATTAGTATTAATGTTTTTTACCTCAATACAACAAATGTGTGAAGAATCATAACGATTAAGGAATTTGTCAATTATTCTTCTGTTACATGTACACTCCAATAAAATTCTACTGTGATCCCTCATCATGCCATGAAGGTTGCCTTGGCAACTCTTAGATTTCAAAGGTTACCGATCATGGTAGCACAAGCTGTGGAAGATGTACTATCAAGCTGAAAAGGCCCAGTATGGGACTGTACATATGTCATCCAAGACAAACCCATTTAATTTGGAGAGGATCACCACTAGGTGATAAATTTTTGAGGTCACAGCAACTTATGAAAATTATCTCCAAAGACTTGCAAGGGCCGTAATCTATATTTCTGGAAGGAACCCACACACCAATGAAATCACACATTGTTTGAAACTGTAAAAGAAATACGTATATTAGCCATTGTTTTACTATGTAACCCACATTAAATACACGCTATGTCATGCTGTGCTTCATACAAAAAGATGATATGTAACCCATGTTTAATGACCCATGATTAGGATATAAGTTTTGCAGGTGAAATGAAAGGATTTCTTTCCCCAATAACAGCAGCTGGTTGAGCTCTTCTCAAATTCTCCTAGTAACAAATAATAATGCATTTGTAAGAGCTGGGTTTAGGAATACTGTCTTTTGTGGCCATGGAGCATAGCGAAGATAAATGGCAGATACAGGGAAGTAATCCAAAGCCTTGATCTCATCATGGGAGTTCTTACACATAATCTAGCCAAAAATCTAGGATGAAACTGAGATCTCAGATGACTTTCTTCCCTGAGACTAAAGAAAAAAAATTTGATCAATAAAACCTCAGTTCAGTCACTTTAATATTACCTAAGTCATTCATTAAACAAGTATTTATTAGATGCCTGCTATGAACAAAAGCACTTTTCCAGTTGCTGGAGACAAAAAGACAAAAATAAAATAGCTTCTGCCATCCAGGAGCTTACTCTACTAGGATATGGTCCAAAGGTTTCACTTTTGATTTCTAATGAAAGATATATGATACTAACTTATGGTAATCATAAACAAAATAAGTCCCCATTAAATGAGATTACCTGATCAGCCACTCCTCCAGGTAAAATGGTTTTTACTATTACTCCAGTTGATTTTCCTCCTACTATACCAAATCCTAGGCCTGATCCATCATTAAGCAATTCAATGGTTTCCACATGCTCCCACTGGACCTGAATAAAAATAATAAAAGCTTATATTACAATAGTGCTTTTCAACTTACAAAGGACTTTCCTCACAACGATTCTTTGAGGTAGATAGGGCAAGTATGGTCAATTCTGCTATAACACAAGTTCTGAAAACTCAGATTTGTTCCAACTCAATTGATACATTAGGGAATATTTTATGGTTTATGCTCAACTTCTCACGCAGAAAATTGTACCACTTCACGATAACTCACAAGATGCAGTCTTTCCCAAGCCTACTTCCACAAGCAAACTTCAGATCTTCAAGGCAAAATTTCCTATTGAATGTGTATGTTCAGGTTCAGTAGGAGCTTTGAGCAGAAAAAGTGTGGCTCCTACCACTTTTACCTTTACCACCATACCTCATGGCCTCTTCTCCTGCTAAGAGGCCCAGATTTGGGAAGCAGCTCCAGGCCCTGGACTGGCCCACTATTTATTGTAGTATTTATGTTCTTCTTAACCATTTAACAGTTTATAAAACCGTGTAACCGTTTTTTATCAAGTTTCTATTTTTTTATGTCACTGATAAAGGTTTTGAGAGTTGTGCCCCTAAAACCATTTCCCCCACATACTCTATGGTTTTTATTGCATGATTTTGCATAGTGCAGTGCTTTTGGAGAGTACATATATCAAATTATAGCAGAAATGCATGCATTGTCATCCCTATATTTTCAGAATGGGGCTTGAGGAGGTAAAGAAAATTTTCCAGATTGACACAGATAGCATCAAAGCCTAGACTGGAACCCAGATTTTCTGGATCCAACTCTCCTTTCTACCTTCCTACTCTCATCTCAAGTATAAATTTACCTAAGTTTGAAAAGAGCCAGGAAAAATAATTAAAATCTATTGTAGATGATGTTATTATGATTTGTTGTTGTTGCTGTTGTTCAGTTATTCAGTTGTGTCCAACTCTTCATGACCCCAAGAACCATAGCATGCCAGGCCCTTCAATCCTGCACTGTCTCCTGAAGTTTGTCCAAGTTCATGCTAATTATTTCCATGACACTATCTAGCCATCTCATCCTCTGCCATTCCCTTTTCCTTTTGCCTTCAATCTTTCCTCACATCAGAGTCTTTTTTTAATGAGTCCTGGTCTTCTGGAGATGTGGCCAAAATAGTTAAGCTTCAGCTTCAGAATTTGACCTTCCAATGAAGAGTCTGAATTAATTTCTGTAAGTATTGACTGATTTAATCTCCTTCCTGTCCAAGAGATTCTCAAAAGTCTTCTCCAGCACCACAGTTCAAAAGTGTTGATTCTGTGGAGCTCAGCATTACTTAAAATCCAACTCCCACAGCCATATATTGCACTAAAAAACCATAGCTTTAACTATATGGACCTTTGTCAGCAAGGTGATGGCTCTACTTTTTAGTATGCTATCCAGATTTCCATAGCTTTCCTTATAAGGAGCAAATGTGTGGGTTTTTTTTTTAATTTCATGGCTGCAGTCACTATTTACAGTGATCTTTGAGTCTAAGAATATAAAATCAGATACTGCTTCCATTTCTTCTCCCGCCATTTGCCAGGAAGTGATGGGACCAGTTGCCAGGATCTTAGTTTTTTTACATTTAACCTCAAACCAGCTTTTACACTCTCCACTTTTACCCTCATCAAAAGGATTCTTAATTCTTCTTCACTTTCTGCCATCAGTGGTATTATCTGCATATCTGAGATTGCTGATATTTTCCCCAGCAACCTTAATTTCTGCTTTTGATTTATCCAGCCTGGCACTTTACATGATGTATTCTGCATATAAGTTAAAGTTAAGTACTACAGCCTTGTACTCTTTTTCCAGTCTTAAACAAATCAGTTGTTACAGGTTTGGTTATACCTGTTGTTTCTTGATCTACACACAGATTCCTCAGGAGACAAGTAAGATGATCTGGTAGTACCATCACTTTTAGGACTTGCCACATTTTGCTGCAACCCACATACTCAAGGGCTTTAGTTTAGTCAATGAAATAGAAGTAGATGTTTTTCTGAAACTCTCTTGCTTTCTTTATAATCCAGCAAATGATGGCAATTTGGTCTCTAGTTCCTCTGCCTCTTCAAAAATCAGCCTGCTTTTCTGGTATTTCTCGGATCATATACTGCTGAAGCCTAGCTTCCAAAATCTTAAGCATAACCCTGCTGGCATGTGAAATGAATGCAAATGCTCAGTTATTATGATTATCTTCATTTTAATAAAATTTTATTTTCCCCCAATTACATGTTAAAATGATTTTTAAACATTTGTTGTTTTTTCTTGTTAAGTTTTGAGTTCCAATTCTAACCCTTTATGCCTCCCCTCTCTGCCGTCCCCAAGTTAGTAAGCAATGTGATATAGGTTATACATGTGCAATCATATAAAACATTTCCATATTAGTCATTTTGTACAAGAAGAGAGAAAGAAAGAAAGAAAGAAAGAAAGAAAGAAAGAAAGAAGGAAGGAAGGAAGGAAGGAAGGAAGGAAGGAAGGAAGGAAGGAAGGAAGGAAGGAAGGAAGGAAGGAAGGAAGGAAGGAAGGAAGGAAGGAAGGAAGGAAGAAAGGAGGAAAGAAAGAAAGAAGGAAGAAAGAAAGAAAGAAAGAAAGAAAGAAAGAAAGAAAGAAAGAAAGAAAAGAAAAGAAAAAAGAAAGAAAAGAAAGAAAGAAAAACAGTATGCTTCAGTCTGTGTTCAGACAGTATCAGTTCTTTCTCTGGACAGCATGCTTCATCACGAGTCCTTTGGTATTGTCTTGGATCATTGCACTGCTAAGAATAGCTAAGTCATTCATGGTTCTTCATTGTATAATATTACTGTTACTGTGCACAATGTTCTCTTGATTCTGCTCACTTTACTTTGCATCAGTTCATGTAAACCTTTCCAGATTTTTTCTGAAATCACCCTGCTTGCCATTTCTTATCACAATAATATTCCATCACAATCATATACTACAGTTTATTCAGCCATTTCCCAATTGATGGGCATCCCCTCAATTTCCAATTCTTAGCCACCACAAAAAGAGCCGCTATAAATATTTTTATACGAATAGGTCGTTTTTGCCTTTTTAGATCTCTTTGGAATAAAGACTTAGCAGTGGACCAAAGGGTATGTAGAGTTTTATAGCCCTTTGGCCATAGTTCAAAATTGCTCTCCAGAATGGTTAGATCAGTCACAACTCTATCAAAAGTACATTGGTATAGAAGTTTTCCCATAGTCTCTCTAACAGTGGTCATTTTCCTTTCTGGTCATATTAACCAATCTGATAGATGTGAGGTGGTACCTCAGAATTGTTTTAATTAGCATTTCTCTAATCAATAATGATTTAGAGCATTTTTGTATGACTACAATCTTTGATTTCTTTGTCTGAAAACTGCCTGTTTGTACACATTTATGATTTGTCAATTGGGGAATGACTTGTATTCTTATAAACTTGTCTCAGCTCTCTATATAGTTGAGAAATGAGGCCCATATCAGAGATATCTGTTGCAAAAAATTTCCTCCAGTTTTCTGCTTTCCTTTTAATTTCAGTTGCGCTGGTTTTGTTTGTGCAAAAACTTCATGATTTTATATAATCACAATTATCTATTTTCCATTTTGCAATATTCTCTATATCTTGTTTGGTACTAAATTCTTTCCTTATCTATAGATATGACAGGTAAACAATTCCATATTCTCCTAACTTGCTTATGGTGTCGCCCATTATATGTAAATCATATACCTATTCTGACCTTACGTTGGCATAAGATGTGAGAAGTTGGTCTATACCTAGTTTCTACAATAGAGTTTTCCAGTTTTCCCAGCAGTTTTTTTTGAAATCATGTTTTTGTTCCAAAATCTTGGCTCTTTGCATTTATCATATACTAGGTTACTATGGTCATTTACCATAATGTATTGTATACCTAATCTATTCCAGTGATCTACCACTCTATTTCTTAGACAGTATGAGATTGTTTTGATAATTACCACTTTATAATACAGTTTGAAATCTGGTATAGCTAGACCATCTTTCTTTACTTTTTTTTCATTGATTCCCTTGATATTCTTGATCTTTTGTTCTTCCAGATGAATGTTATTATTTTTTCTAGCTCAATGAAATAAATTTTTGGTATGACACTGAATTAATAGATTAAGCAACTTCATTATCATTGTTATGACATTGGCTTGGCCTATGAATGAGCAATTAATATTTTTCCAATTATTTAGATCTTTATTTGTGTGAAAAGTGTTTTATAATTGTGTTCATATAGTTCCTGGGTCTGTCCTGGTAGGGAGATTCCCATTTTATATTGTCTATAGTTATTTTAAATGGAATCTCTCTTTCTATATGATTACCTTTAAATAATCAAATTTAGATTTGTATTTATAAGTCCTATACATAGAAGTTTCAGTGCCCTTGTTTGGTAGTGAATAGATCAGCACCTCTATAATGTGAACTAAAGCTTTCTATAGATGATTCTCAAACTTAATGGAAATGTCATTTATTTCATTTATTGTTATTCTTTAGTATCAGTTAAAATTAAATTCTGAAAATCTTGTGTAGGATTCTTTTAAACAGGAAAACGTTCATCTGTTTCACATGATTTAACATAGAAGCAGAAAGTTAAATCAGATGACTCTTTAAGGTCAATCAATCAAAAACATTTGAGTACTTCCTATATGCCAGACATTGTGCTAGGTTCTGGTGATACAAAAATATACATATATCCAAAATGCAAAATTTATACAAAATAAAACAAAGGGATTTTTTTGAAGGGAGGGTTATAAAAGACTTGGGGACTCAGGACATAGAATATGTAGTATGTGATCAACAGCAAGAAGGAGAGTTTGAGGAGACAATGGAGGGTGGGAGAATGGGACAGAAAAAGGGAAGGAAGGAAGAAAGGAAGGAAGGAAGGAAGGAAGGAAGGAAGGAAGGAAGGAAGGAAGGAAGGAAGGAAGGAAGGAAGGAAGGAAGGAAGGAAGGAAGGAAGGAAGTAAAGAAAGTAGGAAGGAAGGGAGGGAAGAAGGAAGGAAGGAAGGGAGGAAGGAAGGAAGGAAGGAAGGAAGGAAGGAAGGAAGGAAGGAAGGAAGGAAGGAAGGAAGGAAGGAAGGAATAGAAGGAAGGAGGAAGAGAGGGAATGGAGAGACAGAAGTAGCCAGACAAGAGGTGAAATAATTTGCCCATTGTCACTCAAGCTAATGTGTCTGAAGCCTATTTTGAACTAAGATTTCCCTGACTCCAGGCCCAGGGCTCTGTCCACTGCACCATTAGCTACAATCCCATAACAGGGATCACATATCCATGACTATAAGTACATGGACAAGAAAGAAGTAGTGGGACTACACACACACACACACACACACACACTTCTTTGAAAAAAATGAGATACTCACTACTGGATTGGAATGAGCTGAAACTGTGCTAGCAGCAGATGGAGAACGAGAAACTATAGGGCTCATGAGTGGAGGCAAGGAGCCTCTGGCAACAATGAGCTGAACATTATCTTTGGCCTTCTGAAGGATACTGATAGCCTGTTGGTGTGTTATTGTTTGATCAAGTGCATATCCATTGATTGCTAGTATTTGATCGGCTTCTTTCAATCTTCCATCTCTGTCAAAGAGGAGTAAGAGGAGGACAAAGATATGTGACAGCTGTCACTAAAATTACCAATGCTTCTAGACAGATTTCTAGTGTTTTTATTATCCCATTTTCTCTTTTCCACACTTTGTAATCTTCCTCCTGCAGTTCTTCGAAAGGAAGTTATTTGGGCCCTCTGGTAATTAGCTAGTTCTCTTTGAAGATAATCCCACTGCCACTCCAGGACATTATAGACCCTATAGCTATCTCCTCCCCTTCAATGGCCTCTTCACATTGGTACCTATCTCAAGCAAAACATGCCCCTACTTAGCTGCTCCCAGCTCAGCCTCTCACAGTCAAAGCCCTGTGTTTATCCTTGACTATGAGCTTTAGAGTTGAAAGGACCCTATCAATTACTATGCCAGCACTAAATTAGAAAACTAAACTAAAATCTTATTTCTATGAGGATATGAAGTTGGGTTCTATAAAAACAGAACTCACCTGCATTTTCTAAAGACTTGACTGTATACTAGAAAAAGAAGTAAACATAAACTTTGAAAACTGTTTAGTGAGTTTTTCAGATCAATTTTTTTTTCTGAAAAATCCTTTTGAGGCAGACCTCTGAGGGCGATCCCTTAATGCTCTAAATCTATGCCATGACAATGAAGAAAGAGAAGAATTCAGTGTACTCATGATAGGATTCGGGGAAAAGTCTCACCTTTGTGCCACACTTCCCTCTTGAATCTCTTGCACAAATATTCCCAGTTCACCTCTGTTTTCACTCTTCAGTCCCACAACACTAAACCCTAGGCCACCATTTGTAGGCTTAACAAGCTCAAAAATCTCTATAGGGCGACCCTGTTCAAGAAACAAACCAAACAAAAATAATGAAAAAGAGAAGCAAAACTCTTCAATGTAATAATATCTTATTTGTATGTCTTCATAACTTATAATATGTTTTACATGTTAGTTTTTTTGATCCTCACACGCTCTGAAGTATGTTAACATTATGACCCCCATTTTCCAGATGAACAAAAGGAGGGTCTACCTCAGGGGTGGATTCACTCAAAGGGCTGCACTTGAGGACCTAGAGGACCACATGTGACCTGGAAGCTACAGGTTCCCCACTCCTTGTCTAGATGTTAAATGACTTACCTGAGGTCACACAGACAGTTAAGCAACAGAGACAGCTTAGCATGTTAGCAGATATTTCATTCACCCTTAATAATATCTAACAGAACATATGAAAAGCTACAAAAATACCCAAAGGCAAATACTACAGTTTAAAATCAGACACTCACTAAAAAAAGTCATCATAAAATAATTGCTTTCCATTGATAGCAATTGCATTTAAATTCCATCTCTCTACCATCTAAAAATTCCCACAAAATATGTTCTTTCATCAATAAAATGACTCAGACATTTTTTACTTCACAATATTTAACTGAGAAAGGCCTTAATTATCTGAGGGCAACATATCCATAAATACAAGCAAATGCTAATCGTTGTGAACATCAAGAAGTCATTTCTCACCTGTGCCATATTTTTGATTAGCTGATCAAATTCATCACCTGAAGGTTTCCCATTGATTTGAGGAGTACTGGATCCCACATGTGATTCAAAATCGACATTATTTTGACCCAATAAATAAGATTCACTATATGAAGTAGGATGCCCACTAGATGCAAAATGTGGAAGTTGTGAGAACTCACCAGTTGAAGATATGGATGGTGTAACATTTACCTGAGGATGACAAAAGGATTATTAGGAACTTTCAGCCTTATATAACTGATTTGTTAAGTGTATCCAAAGAAGTTAGAATGCCCTTTTAAATACTGATATCAAGGATGTGTGATTTCATCATTGTTGGCTAGTCCTCCACCAATGCAAATCTCAATCCCTCCATACCTTGGTAGTCTCCTAATGCCACTGCAGCCAAAAAAAGAATCACCATGTAACTATCTGAGGACATTCTTCTCTGAACTTGTTTTGGCTGGTCCTTGTATGATAGACATCAATACAATCTGTTTTGGGGCCCTCACTTGAAGACTTTTGACTTTGGTGAGATGTATTAAAATCAGGGCTTTGCTTACATAGCCTTCAGGGTGATCATCACAATAATAGGGCAAGGAGGGGGACCTCAGAGGCCATCTAGAGCAACCCCATTCATTTTATAGATGAAAAAACAGATTAAATGACTTGCTCAAGGTCACACATAGTAAACATGAGGTAGGATTTAAACCCAGGTCCTTTGACTTTTGCAGAAGACTCTTCAAAAAATGTAAAATAAATTGTATAGCAAGATCACATGAATGTACAGAATTTACTTTCTGAATTAGTTTCCCTGATTTATTAAAATTTTCCTCAATGGATTCCAGGGACTGATATAGGGTCATAGATTTGGAACACAGAAAGGGCACTTGAGAGATGACCAAGTCCAAACCTCTCATTTTACAAACTAGGAAACTGAGATTCAGAGAAATTAAGTGACTTGTGCAAAATCACACAGGTATTTAGTGTCCAAGGCAGCATTAGACCGTATGTTTTCCTGACTCCACGTTCAGTGTTCTATCCCCTACACTATTCCCTCTCTCAAAGTGTAAGTTGAACATTTGATATTTGGGCTATTGATAAATGTCCCATCTTGTTATATATTTTAGCTGAAGTACTTAAAATTTTTTTCACAAATGCTTATAAAGGGAAATAATGTTATGTATATGAGGTTCCCAGGAAAACTTCAGGGTTAGAACCCAAATGATTGAATGAACCCAAAGTTTTGTCCAGATGACACAAAATAACCATGCTTCATTACAGACCTATTAGTTTATAGAATCAGAGAACTATAGACTTGAAGTTTGAATGGACTGAGCCTTAGTGGAAGAGAGAGTGAATGACATGCCCTCTAATCCCCTATGGATGGTTTGGGAACACTAATCCAGATTGATTTTGTCCCTCACTTGAGAGTGAGGGCATGACTTGCAGTTGACTCCAAATCCTAAATCCCATCAGGGAGAGCTCCACATGGTCTAGGAAACTCTGTAGGGATCAGGTTCCCTTCTGAAAAAGGAGGCTAGATTTTCTTTGCTTTTTCTTTTCTCTGCTGCCTTGGGTGAGGGGAAGGCCATTTCAAATTTCAAGACAGGCAAATGCTAAGTACTAAATAAACAGGAAGTATTGGATAAAGCATTCTTTGGTTTGTTGAATCTTCATAACTGCCTTCAGGACAAACAGTGATTTCTACCTCTACACATAGGGTTGTATGTGACCTGTGCCACTTTGATTGTTTTGAGACTCTTTTCTTTATCACACTTCAGGAAGCAAGAGAAAAGACACTGTTTATGCCTGTCCAAGGAGCAGGGGGGACTTTTCTGATTTAGCAACATGGACAATGTGTTTAAAATGCATGTGGGACAACTTACCAATTTTTTTTAAATGTGAGGTAAGGTGGTGGGGAGTAGAGGATGTAAACCTCATGCTCAAAGCATGCTCAACATTTTCTGCCTGCTGCCAGCCTACATGGAAAAAGGTGAGGAGCTTGCTTCTAGAAAGGTCTAATGACATGAAATGGGAGGGCCCTACTACCCGAATAAGAGCATACTTCTATATTCTGCCTGTTTCTAGTGTGATTAACACATGAAGAAGAAGATTTGATGCTGAGCTATAACTCAGCTATAATTTCTTACCTGGAACTGACATGTGACCCACAAATATAGCACACTGTTCTTTGCCTCTTTCCATTGTTTTTCTTTCCTGCTTTTGAGAAAAGAAGTTCTGCAGACAGCTGTGACCTCGTGAGCTTTGAAAAGTCAGAATGGCAAAACACTACAACTCCAGGAGCCAAAGTGTATGCCAGATTTTGTAGCCAATTGAGAGGATGAGGAGTGAACAACCCAGCAACCTGCCTAGGAGTTAGTGATAATTACTATGGGCTATGCCAAATTTGACAGTGAACTGTGGTGGAGGGAGAGCAGAAGGATAAACTCTCTGTAGAGCCTGCTTTCAGGCTGAGTGCACTTTCCCCAGGGACTGAGGATGTACATGGGGAAGCATGCTCCCAGGTATTGGAGGAAAATGTTCTTGCTCTATCTTCTTAGTAAATAAACCAAGCTTAAAAACAGAATTCTCCTCCATAAATCTGAAACAAGTGGGCATCCAACCTTCCCCTGAAGATCTGAACTGAGGGGGAAGTTCACTAACTCCCAAGGCATCCTATTCCATTTTGAGGTCACTGTAGTCACTCTGAAGCTTTTCTTTATATATTAAGCCTAAATTTTCCACTTCTATCCATTGTTCTTAATTCTGTTCTCTCAGGATTAGCAGAATAAGCTGAATCTTTTTCCCATAGTCCTTATAAGTAACTAATGCAAGCTATCATTCCGTCTCCTCCACCCCCAATGGCTCTTCTCCAAGTTAGACAGCCCTAGTTCCTTCAACGAATCCTCTTTGTGGCATAATCTCAAGGCCTTTCACCATCCTGATCAACTTCCTCTGGCTGTTCTTCAGTTTATTGTTATACTTCTTAGACTCAGCACTAAACATGATACTCTAAGTGCACTTTGACCAAAGTAGAAAACAGTCAGACTCACAATCCCCTTCTTTTGGACACGATCCCTCTCAGCGCATCATAGGAGAGTTAAATTAGCTCTCTTTTCCGGCCCTATCACACACATATCACATATCACACAGAGTCATAATAATGACTCTCGTTGAATTTGCAGCATATTAAAGCCACCTCATTATTTTTTGTCAAACTACTATCTAATTAAAACTCCTCCATATTGTATTGTGAATGTTTGTTTGTTTAGAATGTAAAACCTCTTATTGAATTCCATCTTATTGATTGATACCTGTGCCAAGATCATTCAGAGTCAACCTTTTCAAAGTGGTTTGTGGGAAACCCTTTTCTTTTAGCCACACAGATGTGGATGTCACAATATAAAAACTATGTAAGGATAAGACGGTACTCAAGAAACAGTGATGAGAACTAGAAAGAGAACTTAGTCCACCAATAAGCATTTGTTAAGTGCCTACAGTGTGCCAGGTATTGTGCTAAGTAAGCACTGAAGACATAAAGAAAAGAAAAAGATAGCCCTTTCTCTCAAGAAAATTACAGTCTAACGAGGGAGACAAAATGCAAAGAGGTATGTACAAACAAAATATAGACAAAATAAAATGGAGATGATCTGAGGGAATGTTTGTTGACTGACTGAGAAGCAAATACATTAAAGCCTCCCTATAGCAGAATAAAGCAGAATCATGTCAATAGCTGATTGCCCTGATCTCCATACAAAATGTAGTTACTGAACTGCCCAAAAGATTTCATTCTAAGCTGGTCTCACCTCTTTATATAGTGCTTTAGGATATGCAAAGTGCTGAAATTACAGTATCTCCTTTGAGATTCATGGCAACTCTGTGAGTTAGGAGCTATATTTTTTTTATTCTCATTTTACAGATGACAAAACTGAGTGTCAGAGAGATAGTCACCGGGGCAGTCACATAATAACAAGAGTGAAAGGAAGGACTTTAACCTTGATCCTCCTGATTCCAAATTCAACACTCTAACAGACTATTCCGCCTCTGGACTGGAAGGAACAGACACAGCCTACATTCTAACCTGTATTACAGTGTTAATGAGGATCCAGTAATTGCCTGAAATGTCAGTGATCTTTGTCATCAAACATCAAGCATGTTCTTTCAATAAAGAATTCAAAATCAAGACATGACTTCATTCCTTTAGACTTACCAAAAAAAGTAGGCTTGTTATATATCAACTCTTGCTTTTTAATTTTTTTTAGTCTGAGATACATCAAATTCAGAACAGTCAGGTGGCAAAATCTATGCTAGGTAATATGACACAGCAGATAAAGCAAAAGACTAGGAATCAGAAGATGTAGGCCCAAATCCTGGATCTACCTCTTGCTAGCTAAGTGACCTTGCACAAGTCAATATTTAGTCTTTCTGCACATCAGTTTATCTTCAGATCAGAAATAACAAAGACGGTCCAACCTAACAGTAAAGACTGTGAGATTCAAATGCAAGGGGTGGGGGAAAGCACTTTATAAACTATAACAGGTGTTGAGTGCTGGGATAGTATCTAGGCCTATGATTTGATCAGAGCAGGGAACTCTCAGTGTGGAAGTTTACTCTACCTAATGAAGACCTGTAGATAAGCACCCTAAAATTCCTCTGCCTTTAGAGTCTTGAAGATATGACTGGAACACAGAGGTTAAATAACCTACCCATGGTTTCACATCCAGTATTTATCTGAGGAACGACTTGAATTAGGCCTTCCTGATGCTGAGTGGCTCTATTATTATACCATATCTCCAAATGCATTTGTACAAATATAATCATTGTTTTATCATTATTCTCATTAATGCTCCATTCCAGCTTTTCCAACTATTCTAACAGAGCTCAACTTCTATTTCCTGGATTTCTTTTCCACCTCCATCTCAGCTTCCTTCTCATGCTAGAGATGCTGCCTCCTCTGTATCCTCCTCCTCTGACTGGTGAGTTCCTCCTCGGAAGCCCCACTTTGGAAAGCAGCCATACTATCCAAGCTCACTTCCAACCTGGCTCAACTTTTAATTCTCTAGATTATCTTCTGCCTTGCCCTCACATGAGAACTTTTTTCACATATTAACCACTTAAGAAAAACTCACTCACTCATCTTCTCATTGTGGCACATATTGTGACTGTGAGTTCTCAAAGGCTATAAAAGTGGCACAAAAGCCCCATAAGTC